CGCGCCAAGAAGGCCGGGCGCAGGCTGGGCATGGAGGACCTGTACGCGTTCTTCGTCGAGCAGTGCCGGCAGAACCTGCACATGGTCATCTGCATGTCGCCCGTCGGGGACGCGTTCCGCAACCGCCTGCGCAAGTTCCCGTCGCTGGTGAACTGCTGCACGATCAACTGGTTCTCGGTGTGGCCCGCGGACGCCCTCAAGTCGGTGGCGCGGCAGTTCCTGCGCGAGGTGGACTTCGACGACGAGACGGTGCGCGCGAGCGTGGAGGACCTCATGATGACGGTGCACACCTCGGTGCGCGACCTGGCCCAGCGCTTCCTGCAGAGCGAGGGGCGGCACTACTACACGACGCCGACGTCGTACCTGGAGCTCATCAGCACGTACAAGACGCTGCTGGGGAAGAAGCGCAACCAGGTGGGCAAGATGCAGCGGCGGTACGAGGTGGGCCTGGACAAGCTGCTGAGTGCCGAGTCGCAGGTGGAGGGTATGAAGGAGGAGCTGATCAACCTGCAGCCGCAGCTGGAGGCGACGTCGAAGGAGGTGGCGGAGACGCTGGTGATCGTGGAGCGCGAGACGGTGGAGGCGGAGGCCAAGCGCACGGTGGTCGAGAAGGAGGAGGCGATTGCGTCGGAGAAGGCCGCGTCGGCCAAGACGATCAAGGACGACTGCGAGGGCGACCTGGCCAAGGCCATGCCGGCGCTGGAGGCGGCGCTGGCCGCGCTGCGGAAGCTCACGAAGGGCGACATCACCGAGGTCAAGGCCATGAAGAACCCGCCGCTGCCGGTGAAGCTGGTGATGGAGGCGGTGTGCTTGCTGATGAACGTCAAGCCGAAGAAGATCCAGGACCCGAACAACCCGGTGAAGAAGATCGACGACTACTGGTCGCCGTCGCTGCAGCTGCTGTCGGGGCCGAGCTTCCTGAAGGACCTGCAGGAGTACGACAAGGACTCGCTCGAGGAGCCCATCATCATGAAGATCCGGCCCTACCTCGAGATGCCCGAGTTCCAGCCCGAGGCGGTGAAGAAGTCGTCGACGGCCGCGTTCGGGCTCGCGTGCTGGGTGCGCGCCATGGAGACGTACTTCAACGTGAGCCGCGAGGTGGCGCCGAAGCGCGCGAAGCTCGCGGAGGCCGAGGCCGAGTACAACGAGGTGATGGAGGGCCTGAACGCGAAGAAGGCGGAGCTCACGGCGCTGATGGAGAAGCTCGAGGCGCTCAACGCCAAGCTGCACGAGATGCAGACGAAGCAGGCGCACCTCGAGGCGGAGAAGGACCTGTGCGAGAAGAAGCTGGAGCGCGCGACGAAGCTCATCCAGGGCCTCGGCGGCGAGAAGGCGCGGTGGACGGAGGTGACGCAGGCGCTCAAGGGCGACTACATCAACCTGACGGGCGACGTGCTGCTGTCGTCGGGCTTCGTTGCGTACCTGGGCGCGTTCACCGCGCTGTACCGCGAGTCGGCCGCGGAGCAGTGGGTGGGGATGTGCAACAAGTCGAAGATCCCCTGCTCGGCCAAGTTCGTCCTGTCGAAGGTGCTGGGCGAGGCGGTGCTGATCCGGGACTGGACGATCGACGGGCTCCCGAACGACTCGTTCTCGATCGACAACGGCATCATCATGACGAACGCGCGGCGGTGGCCGCTGCTGATCGACCCGCAGGGGCAGGCGAACAAGTGGATCAAGAACATGGAGCGCGCCAACAACCTGACGGTGGTGAAGCAGTCGGACAAGGACTACCTGCGCACGCTCGAGAACTGCATCCAGTTCGGGTACCCCGTGCTCATGGAGAACGTCGGCGAGGAGCTCGACCCGACCCTGGAGCCGCTGCTGCTGCAGAGCACCTTCAAGGACGGCAACACCGAGTGCATCAAGCTGGGCGACGCGGTGATCGAGTACAGCGACAAGTTCCGCTTCTACCTCACGACGAAGCTCCGGAACCCGCACTACCTCCCCGAGGTGTCGGTCAAGGTCACGCTGCTGAACTTCATGATCACGCCGCAGGGCCTCGAGGACCAGCTCCTGGGCATCGTCGTGCAGCGCGAGCGGCCGGAGCTGCAGGAGGAGAAGACGAAGCTGGTGCTGCAGGGCGCGGAGAACGCGCGGCAGCTCAAGGAGATCGAGGACAAGATCATCGAGGTGCTCTCGAGCTCGGAGGGCAACATCCTGGAGGACGAGACGGCGATCAACGTCATCTCGAGCTCCAAGGTGCTGTCGAACGAGATCGCGCACAAGCAGGGCATCGCGGAGAAGACGGAGGCGAAGATCGACGAGGCGCGCGCGGGGTACAAGCCCGTGGCGAAGCACGCGAGCGCGCTGTTCTTCTGCATCAGCGAGCTGTGCCAGGTCGAGCCCATGTACCAGTACTCCCTCGCGTGGTTCATCGCGCTCTTCGAGGACTCGATCCGGAACGCGGAGAGCCCCGAGGGCCTCGCGCTGCGCATCCAGGCGCTCAAGACGCACTTCACGTACTCCCTGTACAAGATGATTTGCCGCTCGCTGTTCGAGAAGGACAAGCTGCTCTTCTCCTTCACGCTCGCCGTCTCGATCCTCGACCGCATCGAGAGCAAGATCAACAAGGCCGAGCTCCGCTTCCTCCTCACCGGCGGCATCTCCACGGGCGACGCCCCGCCCAACCCGCACGCGTGGCTCCCCAACAAGGAGTGGGGCGAGCTCGTGCGCCTCTCCGCGGTCTCCGACGCCTACGAGGGCCTCGCCGACGACGTCAAGGAGTCCCCCACGTCCTGGAAGGCCATCTACGACGCCGCGAGCCCCATGGACGAGGCCATCCCGGAGCCCTTCGACTCGCGCCTGGACGGCTTCCAAAAGCTGCTCATCCTGCGCTGCCTGCGGCTGGACAAGCTCGTGCCGGCGATCCAGCGGTGGGTGATGACCGTGATGGGCAAGGAGTTCATCGAGCCGCCGACGTTCAACCTCGAGGCGTGCTACGCCGACTCGTCGTGCCTGACGCCGCTCATCTTCGTGCTGTCGCCGGGCGCCGACCCCATGGGCGCGCTGCTCAAGTTCGCGGACAAGCTCAAGGTGAACGTGGACTCGATCTCGCTCGGGCAGGGCCAGGGCCCCAAGGCCGAGGCGCTGATCGCGCGCGCGCAGCAGGAGGGGTCGTGGGTGGTGCTGCAGAACTGCCACCTCGCCGTGTCGTGGATGCCGCGCCTGGAGCGCATCTGCGAGGGCCTGTCCCCCGAGACCACGAACGCGGGCTTCCGCCTGTGGCTCACGTCGTACCCCTCGGAGCAATTCCCCGTCGCGGTGCTCCAGAACGGCATCAAGATGACCAACGACCCCCCCAAGGGCCTCCGCGCCAACCTCCTGCAGTCCTACCTCAACGACCCCGTGTCGGACCCGGCGTTCTTCGACGGCTCCGACCGCCCGGGCCCCTTCCACAAGCTGCTCTTCGGCCTGTGCTTCTTCCACGCCGTGGTGCAGGAGCGCCTCAAGTTTGGGCCGCTCGGGTGGAACGTGGCGTACCAGTTCTCGCTCCCGGACTTCTCCATCTCCGTGCGGCAGCTCCAGATGTTCATCAACGAGTTCCCCGAGCAGCTCCCGCTCCAGGCGCTCACGTACCTCACGGGCGAGTGCAACTACGGCGGGCGCGTCACCGACGCCAAGGACCGCCGCACCATGGAGTCGCTCCTCAAGATCTACTACTGCGAGGAGGCCGCGACGGACGACGGGTACAAGTTCAGCCCGTCGGGGCTGTACTACGCCCCGCCGGAGGGCCCCTACGAGTCCTACCTGGAGTACATCCGCGCGCTCCCGCTCTACCAGGAGCCCGAGGTGTTCGGGCTGGACGCCAACGCGGACATCGCGAAGGACAACGCGGAGTCCGAGCAGATGCTGGCGTCGATCCTGGCGACGCAGGGCCACGGCGGCGAGGGCGGCGGCGGCGGCGGCGCCACCAAGGAGGAGGTGCTGAGCGAGGTGGCGCGGGACCTGGCCTCGCGCGTGCCGCCGATGTTCGACGTGGAGTTCGCGCGGTACAAGTACCCCGTGAACTACCACGAGAGCATGAACACGGTGCTGACGCAGGAGCTGGTGCGGTTCAACCGCCTCCTGGCCGTCATCCACTCGACGCTGGGCGAGCTGCAGAAGGCCATCAAGGGCCTGGTCGTGATGAGCGCGGACCTCGAGGCCGTCGGGAACGCCATGTTCGACGGCCGCGTGCCCGAGGCGTGGATGGCCAAGTCCTTCCCCAGCCTCAAGCCGCTGGGCGGGTACGTGGCGGACCTGTGCAAGTGCTGCAAGATGATGTCGGACTGGATCGAGCACGGCCCGCCGCCCAACTTCTGGATCTCGGGCTTCTTCTTCACGCACGCGTTCCTGACGGGCGTGAAACAGAACTTTGCGCGCAAGTACAAGATCCCGATCGACACCGTGACGTTCTCGTTCAAGTGCCTGCCGCGCGGGGACTACGACACGAAGCCCGAGGACGGCGCGTACGTGTGGGGCATGTTCCTCGAGGGCGTCAGGTGGTCGTACGAGGACATGCAGCTTGCTGACTCAGAGCCCAAGGTGCTGTACTCGGAGGCCCCGATGATGCTGCTGCGGCCGTGCGAGGCCGGGAAGGAGGACAAGTTCCCGCACTACCTCTGCCCGCTGTACCGCACGGCGGAGCGCAAGGGCGTGCTGGCGACCACGGGCCACTCGACCAACTTCGTGATGGACCTCGAGATCCCCGCGGACAAGCCGCAGGACTACTACATCCGGCGCGGTGCCGCGGCGCTGCTCAGCGCGTGATCGGCGTGACTTCCGCGGGCGCGGAGGCCCGGTCGGCCTAGAAACGACGCGATGACGCGATAGATAGTCTAAGACCAACCGAGATAGTACACAACGCATATAGATCCGACGCGAGATGAGCCGCACGCGCGGAATTAGTTGCCAGCCACGGCGATAGTCCGGGCCCTCGCTGTAAGCGACCACGCAAGCGACCTGCAGCCTCACACGAGTACACGCTGGCCTCGGTCTCGGGCAACACTGCCCGCCCGAGCCTACGAGTTGATCTTGATGCCCGCGCCGCGCTCGGCGCGCCCGCCCGAGCGCACGACGTGCTCCCTCCGCTTGCTCGGCGGCCGCGTGTCGGGGTGCTCCACGCACACGTGTGACGAGATGTACTCAAAGGGGTTCCCCGTCGACCCCAGCGCCTCGAGCACGGCCTGGTCCTCCGCCAAGGCCGTGTACCGCCCGCTCACGTTGATGTGCACCGCGTTCGGGCTCCCCTCCGCGTCCTTCAGCACGCCCGCGTCGCCTGTGCGCTCTGCCACCTTGCGCCGCACGTCCTCCGGCCGGTCCGTGGCCTCCAGCACCAGCAGCAGCGGCTCCCCCCACGACCGCAGCACGCCCTGCGACTCCTGCGTCACCCTCTCGCGCTGGCAGTGCGCCACGCACACCAGCTTCCGCTCCTCGCCCGCCGCCGCAGCGTCGTCGCCCTCGCTGCCGACCAGCGCCTCCGGGTCCTCGCCCTGAGGGCACTCCTCCGCGCGCAGCTCGAGCGACCGGTCGTTCGGCAGCGACTCGACCTTCACGTCCCGCCGCAGGACCTTGTGCACGCGGCTGGACGCCACCTCGAGCAGCCGGAGCGGACCCTCGGGCCGCCGCTTGCCGCGCCCGTTCGCGGCGCGCTCGCGCACCTCCTCGAGCACCTCGTTCACGGTGTCGTCCTTCATCCGCCGCACCGTGAACTCCTCCACGTACTCCCCGCGCCCGTCGTGCCAGCACACCGTGACCTCCGACATGGCCTCGAGCTGCGCCAGCGGTATGTCGAGCGCCTCGTAAAACACAAAGTCCGGTTCCCAGATCGTCTTCCCCGTCACCTCGCCCACCGTGCCCACCATCTTCGTCGGCACCGCGGCCATCGACGGGTTGCGCGTGAAGCGATGCATCTGCCAAAAGCGCAGGTGCGTGCCGCCGGCGCGCACCCCCACCGCCTCCGCGACCTTCTGCGACCACACCTCGTACGAGTCGTCGCTCTGCACCTCCACCTCCACCTCCTTCGGCAGCTCCGCGCCGTCGGCCGCCCGCACCGCCGCGCCGGGCCGGCGGCGCACCCGGAGCACCCTGCGCGCCTGCGTCCACTCGAGGAAGTCCGCCACGCGAGGGAACTGGCACTTCTCCGGCACGTGCTGCGCCTGCACGATGATCACGTCGCCGTTGGTGGTTTGGACCTGCTCCAGGGTCTCGCGAGGGTTGAGGCGCTGCAGCATCCCGCGGGCGGGCGCGCGGTCCGCGTCGAGCTCCGCGGTGTCCGGCGTGTCCGAGAGCTCCTCGAAGTAGTCCAGGCTGGCCGCGTCGAGCCCGCTCACGAGCGGCGCGAGCTCCTTGTTGCCCTTGCACTCGCGCAGGACGTACTTCCCCAGGGCCTCGACCTTGCTGGTGAGCGGGAACAGCTGCGCGCGGACGAAGTGCAGCCTGCTGTTCGCCGCGTCGTAGATCTTCAGGAAGACCAGCCGCGAGGTGTCCTGCGGCACCGAGGCCGAGTCCATCTCCTCGAGGTACAGGCTCAGCGCGCGCTTATACCCGGCGCTCTCGGCCTTGCGCGCCACGTCCTGCACGGTCTGCGTGCGCACTTCGTGCTCCCTGAGCGCGGAGTCCACGCGGAAGGTGCCGTTGCGGCGCTGCCCGATGACCCACAGCTGCTGCTTGTTGGCCCGGATCCCGTACTCGCGCTCCATCTCCGCGATGATCTCGCTGAGCTTGGTCTCGTTCAGCACGCGCTTCTGCCACACGCGCGGCGCGCGCTCGCACACGCCGAACGCGTGCTCGGCGACCTGCGCCCGCACGTCGCACTCGCGGGCGACGCTGACGTGGCAGTACAGGTGCGCCTCGCGCTTCTCCTGCCACCGCGTGATCTTCTCCTTGAGCTCGGCGTCCAGCTGCGTCGCCATGTGCTCCGGCAGGTTCTTCCTGTCCGCCTCGCAGAACACCTGGTCCCGGTCGGCGTCGCGCGTGTACACCAGCATGTAGGCGCTCCCGGTCGACCGCATCAGCCGCATCGACCCCGTGCGCTGCGCGGGGTCCGCGACGCCCGCGGCCTCCTTGACCGTCGCCTCGTCGACCTTCTCCACGCGCTCGTCGTCGAACTTGAGCCACTGCGTCCCGTCGGGGTTGATGTAGGTGTAGTAGTGCCCGCCGTACATGCCGCCCATGTGCACCATGACCGCGAACAGGCGGTACGTGTTCTGCACGGTGTGGCCCGACGCCTTGGGGTGCAGGTACCGCTGCAGGTCGAGCTCCGCGGGGAAGTCGTGGTGGTCGTTGATCTTGACCTGCTGGAAGGTGTCCAGGTCCCAGTCGAAGCGCTTCAGGTGCAGGAACAGCACGGGCGGGAACGAGTCGAACAGCACGCCGCGCTCGGCCTCCTGCATGCCGTGCCCCTCGGCGTCGTACTTGTCGTCCAGGCGGTCCACCTCGCAGTACTTGTCGAACGAGTCGTACAGGTCCTTGCAGCCCTTGACGTCGAGCTGCAGGTCCTGGTACGACTCCTTGCGCTCCGACCTGAAGTCCACGTGCAGGCACCGCACGAACGACACCGTGTGCCCCTGGAACATCCGGTCGAGGTCCTTCTCCACCGCCGTGCCCTTCATCTTCGCCTCGAGGCGGTCCATGAGCACGCGCGCCAGCTCCTGCACGTCGTGCTGCTGGAACGCGTCGAACGAGTCCCACCCGAACGACTTGGTCAGCAGCTTCGTCGACACGGGCTTGGAGCCGTACTGCAGCCGGAAGAAGAGCTGCTGCATCGCCGCGGGGAGCGACGAGTCCGGCTGCTCGTCCTCGCCGACGGGGAGCTGGTAGCACGTCTTGCGGAACCACGGGATGTGGAACAGGACCTGCGCGCGCACCCACGCCGACGACAGGGGGCGTTGTCACCACGCACGCGCCGCGGCCGCACAACGACAGAGGCGGTCGCGCACGGGCGGCGGCCCGGCGTCGCCCGAACGAGGCCACCGCCGGCGCCGCGCGCCGCGCACCCGCGCCCACGCGGCGCGCCCGTGGCGCGTCGAGGCCGTTGTGCGGGGTGCGTGCGCGTACCTGGAGCAGCGAGTTCATGTAGCACGTGGCTCCTTGGTTCTTGAGGCCCACGAAGCCCGTCTCCCGCTTGGGGTCGTACCCGGGGTGCTGCGGCCCGCGCAGGACCTCGAGCACCACCCTGACGTGCAGGCTTCCGTCGGGGTGAAGGAACCCATCCTCCTCGAGGCTCTTCAGCGGGTGGAAGCCGCTGAACCCCCAGTCGTTCTGTCTGCGGACGGGGCACGCAGCACGCGGCGCCGGGTGCGTCGGGCCGGTCGCTGGCGGCGCGGCGTGCGGTGTGTTGCGGTGGGCGCTGGGAACGGCAGTGCAGGTGCGGGTGCGGGTGGGGGCGCACGTGACGTCGAAGGTGTGGCTGGTGTTCTTGGAGTGGTCCTTCGAGGGGTCGCCCGACGGGTGCACGAGCACGAGGGTGAAGTCCGCAGCGCGTGCCCAGCCCTCCAGTGGCACTGCGACGCCCTGGGGCTTCGGGGCGTCCAGGTACACCGACACAGACTTCTCCGCGTCGCCCCCGGTCGTTGAGTTGCCCTTCGGGAACAGCAGGATGCGCCTGCGCGCGGCGCGGGAGGCGGGGGGCGAGCAGTGGGCCGGTGCGCACACCACCCTCGACGGAGCACGCGCCAGCGGGTGCCGTGGGGGCAGCAGCCGCTGGACGGGACGCCGTCGAGGCAGTGTATCGCGCCCTCGCGGGCGTGGGTGTGCGGGTCGCGGACGCCGCGTGAGCTGGAGCGGAGGGAGCCCGGAGTGATGGGCGGCCTGTGCGCGCGGGCGCGACCGCAAGTGCCGGGTCTGGAGCGTGGCGCGAAGCAGGACGCGGACAGGGAGGCGTTCGCGCGTCGAAAAGCGCTGGATTTGGCCGCGAATCACGGGCTGGCTGCCCAGTTCGGTGGTGGGCGGAGCTCACCATTCGAAGCCCGCAATCTCGAAGGGCTCGGAGTACTTCTTCTGTTCCTTGATATCGAGAAAATTCTCGAAAACGATCTGCGCGCGAGAAAGCGGCCGCACGCCGTGAGGACTCGCAGCGAGCCCGGAGGAGAGATCGAGCTGCCTCGACGTCCAGCATGCGCTCCATCTGGGCGCGCTCGGGGCCTGAGGGAGGCACCTCCGGGCGCGAGCGCGCGCCCAGCGGGCTGGCAGGGTCCCCGACGAGGTCGTGGGCGACTTAGAGAGGCACAGGCGGCGTGGTATTCGTTCGGGCGCGGTGGCGCAGCAACACGGACTCGACGCGGTATGTGCCGCGGGGCGCGCTTACCGTGTGGGATCCTTTATTGGGGTTGGGAGAGTCCACCTCCATCTCTACGCTGCCGGTCGGTGGAGGCGCTGCGGAAGCGGGAGGGCCGCGCTGGGGAGCGATCAGGGATTGAAGTGGCTGGAAGGCGAGCTCGGGCGCGGCGCAGAGCGCATATTCCGCAGCGGCGCCAATGCGAGGCGACGGCGCAGCAGTAGGGGGGTCGTTCTGCGAGCGCGCGCGTCACGCGAGCGGCCCGACGGGGATGCAGACGCCGCCGAGGCCGCGTTTGGGCAAGAAAAGCACTCACCTGGCATATTTTGCTCAACTTGCGGCTCCGACTCCTTCATCTCGACGTCCGTGGTCATGCAAGATGTCTAATGAGGCCTCGGGGCCGGCGGCCCGGACGTTGGGGCCACTCCACCGGAGAAACTGCCTCCAAGAGCCAGCGCGCTGCAGTCTACGCGCGCTCACCGGCTGCTGCGCTGCACAAACGCCCTGAAACGACGCGGCGCTAAGGATCCAGCGGCGTCAAACCTGCGCCTGCCCGCGCCGGGGGCGCGCCGTCGAGAGCCCGGCCCGCAACAGCACCGTGTCGGGGGCAGCCCCTTTTGTCATACTCGTCCGACGCACATCACGCGGCCCAGTCGCCCCGGAGACCACACACACGGCCGCGTGCTGCCGGCCGCCGTGGCACGCCGTACTAATGCACGGCCACTGGCGCACACACACATACACATTTTGTCACATCTGACGAGGTGAGCAGGACCTCCATGTGGCCGCGCCTGAGTCAAGAGGACCGCCCCACGGCCGACGACGCTGAGAGGCGCGCGCCCGGCAGCGGGCGGCCGTTGCATGCCACGTCGAGACGGCACGCAGCGGCCGTTGTTCCACCGTGCGCCTTGCGGGACCCCATGCGTTGCGCGACTCGATAGAGGGGGGAGTGTTTGGCCGCGTCGTGGGACCGGAGCGCGCGCGGGCTGGTGCGCCGTGTCGCGGCGCGGGCTGGTCGGTGCGGCCGCTGGATCATCGTGCGCGGTGGGGGAGTCGGATGTGCAGTAGAAGTCTTAGTACGACTGAGCAGCAGCCGTGGTGCGACTGGTCGACTTGTGCGCGCAGCCGGGGCGGCGAGGGCAGACATGGCGCAAGGCTGTGTGATTGTTTCAGGGCTTCGACCGCGCAACCATCCAGGCCGTGACTGCTGCACGCAACTAGCATCTGTTTCGCGAAATCTGGGCCGTCACAGAACCCCCACCCCGGTCTGGAGGCAAGCCCTGTGCACGGATCGATCCAGTACGTGCGTGCGAATTCCAGGCGCGGCCTCGAAGTGCGCGTCGCGCTGCCGGGAGCGATGCCGGGAGCGGAGGGTCCCAACCAGGGCGACGCCATGCCCGATAGAGTTCAGATCGATCCGGCAGTAGACGTGGAGTACCGTAGCTACCGAGCAGAACGGGAGGTCGACCTTCCGATCGTCATGTCGCTCGTGGACAACGAGCTTTCGGAGCCGTACTCCGTCTTCACCTACAGGTATATCTGCGGACGCCCCCTGGGCCTGATTCGAGCGCGATGCGGTGCTGACAGCACCTCACCTGCATCATCAATCAAGTCAACTCCTCGTTCGAACGAGTTTTGGACCTCGCCGTGCGCGGAAGACGACGCAGCGCCGCCTGACCCTGGCTGGCGCTCCACTGCATTCGTGCCGCGCGCCACCCCACCGTTCAGGCACCTCACCGGCGACGCAGGTACTTCCTGAGCCAGTGGCCCCACCTCTGTTTCATCGCCTTCCACGCCGGCCGCCCGTTCGGCGTCGTCGTCGGCAAGCAGGAGCGCCACAAGCACGGCAACGAGCGCGGGTACATCGGCATGCTCGTCGTCGAGAACGCGTACCGCGGGTACGGCATCGGGTCCGAGCTCGTCCGCCGGTGCATCCAGGTGCGTCCCGCCTCGTCCGGCGCGCGACCCGCCAGCTGTTGCGTGTAGCCAACATTGCCGCTCCGCAGCATGGCGATCCTGGCGACGCCGGACGGAGCGCGTGCGCAGGTGATGGACGAGCGGGGCGCGGAGGAGGTGGTGCTGGAGGCGGAGGCGACGAACGTGGGCGCGATACGGCTGTACGAAAAGGTGGGCTTTGTACGGGACAAGCGGCTGCGACGGTACTACCTGTCAGGGCTCGACGCGTACCGACTGAAGCTGCTCCTGCCGCTGAAGCAGCCAATCGAGACCATCGGCGACGGGCAGGAGGTGCGCGACCCCGCACGCGGACACACTGCCTGGGGTGTTTGCGCGTGCAGTCTTCGTGGTGCGGCGACTGCTGCGGCGGCTCAGAAACGATCGTGCGCGACGTCGCGTGCAGGAAATGAGCGCGGCAGTCTCGGCAGCGGAGCTGGCCGCGCTGCGCGTCGACGGCAAGCAGGTGGCTGGGGCGGGGGGCTCGAACGGCGCGTAGCATCCCCGGCGGGCCGCGAGGCGCGTCGACGCTCCCCGGACACCCGCGCGTGTGATCAGCAGCATCCAGATCGCACGCTCAGGCAATGCAGCCCGTGCGCGCGCGCCAGAGCACTGCAGTGCAGATCAGCGCTGCGTGCCTACGCAGCCACGCCACGCTCTCGGCAACGCGTCGTTCGATCTCACACGCAGTTGGAGCGCGGGCAGATCATGCAGTCGGCGGCCTCGACGGTCCCAGGCGCGCCGTTACCGCACGAATCCCATCCACGCAATGACGATGTAAAGCAGGAACAGGGGGTAGACCGCGAGCGCGCGCCGGCGCTCGTCGACGCTGTGGCCGACGAACGGCACGGCTGCCCACGACGACCACGCGACCGCGAGGATGAAGATCGGCAGCCGCACCGCCCAGTGCGCGACGGCGAGGCTGATGGCTGCGGCCACGACGAGCGGGAAGAGGCAGTAGCCGAGGAGGCACAGCCCTGCGATGCGGCGGAGGGGCGCGCCATGTCGGCGCAGGACGCGGCGGCGTGTGAGCGACGCGAAGGGTGCTCGCGGCCCTGCTGCGGTGAGTGTGCGCGCCGCGGGGCGGCTGCGCGGCGCGGCGGCGCGCACCTTGGAAGAACGCCATGCGGCCTCCGAGGAGGGAGACGTTCGCGGTGAGGGCGACCGCGCCCAGGCCGAGGATGACGAACACCATCGCAAACACCCTCGAGGCCTTCGCGGCGCCGACGCTGAGGCAGATGGCGAGCGAGAGCGTGAACACGAGCGGGCCCCAGAGGTCCCAGTCGCTCATGAACGTGGACGACCCTCGATCGGACCCCGGGAGGAGCACGGCCTGCACAAGTGCGCCGCACAGCAGGGGGGGGTTCAGCGCGCCGGTGGTGCCGTTCGCTGCACGGGTCTCGTCGGTGGAGAGCGAGCGGGTCTCGGCGGCGCGGCCGCGAGCGCTGCGGCTGGCGCCGTACTGCCGCGGCGAGTGGAGCGCGTGCGCGTCAAGGGCCTGCCTTTGTGTTGGTAGATATCCGCTTCAGGTCGCGCAGGACCGTCTGCCATACTGGCTCGTCGAGAGTGGATTCGTGCACGTGCGCTGCTTCGTTGGACGTCTCGATGCGTCCTGAGACTTGCCCCGCGCCAGCTCCACCGCCGCCGGACGACTGCCACGCCCCTTGCGGCGTCGAGGTCGGCAGCAGGCTCGGCCCGCCCAGCTGCACAGCACAGCTCACAGAGAACGTGTTTGGATCGAGAGCCCGCTCTGAACGGCTACGTGGGAGCGGAAACGCGGCCGAACAAGCCCGCGGTGAGCGGGGGACGCGGGCGCGGTGCCCGCGTGGACGCCGCGGCCGCTGGGACCGCGGGTCGCAGCGCGCAGCTCCCGGCGTGCGACCGGCGTCGCGGGCCGGCACAGGGCCCAGCGGCGCGGGACTTGCTCGAAGTGTCTCGCGTGATGTTGAATGTAAAGAAGGGGCCGTACCTCCTCGTCCTCGACGTCCAGGCCGTCCGAGGGCCGCTTGATCGCGGAGTCGCTCCCTGGTGCATACATTCCGCGGCGGCTGACTCGCTAGCAGCGTCGCCCGTAGGCGTGGTCTGGACGCTGGAGGGTGAACAACAGGGACGTCGCGGCCCGCGGCTGTGCAGCGGTGTTTGTGCGTGCGACGGTGCGCTGCCGGGTGGCCGGGGCACGGTCGAGGTGGGGCCCTCGAGCGGCGCGGGGGCGTCGAGGGGCCGCGCAGTCAGTCGGACACGGCGAACCCTCACACCGGCCCGTCCTGCGGCCGGTGAGGGCCTGTCGGGGCCGCAGCGCGCGACGCGGCGGCACAAGATCGCGCTGCGAACAACGTGTGGTGCGTCCGAAGCTGCATCAGGCGTCGCGGGCTGCGGGAAGCAGGCTTCGTCGAGTAGAGCTGCGCGCCCGCACCGGCGTCGCTCGTTGTCGTAGGCCGGCCGCGCGGCGTCCCTTGTTGCGAGGCGTTGTGTCGCGGAAGGAGGCGGTGGATTGGGACGCGGACAGGGCGCAGTAGGCCAGCGGAGAAAGCAGCAGCTCCGGGGGGATGGCGACGCTTTCGGGGCTGCCTAGCGCCCAGCAGGCGGGGGGCACGGGGGAGACTAGTACCGGGCTGGCGCCACGGAACCCCGTGATGGTCAACAGCGATACCACGAGCGTGGCGCAGGAGAGCGTCGTGACGTCTCCAATCCCAGAGCATGAAAACAACCTCCTCTTCTTCTCCATCTCCTGCGGGGACGTCAATATGGCCCGCACACTCCTCCAAGACGGCCGCGTCCCATGGAGCGTCAAGGACGCGCACGGCTGGACCCCCGCGCACCTTGCCTGCAGATTTGGCAACACTGGTGCGCCCAGCGAGCCCGACGCGCCCCGCCCCCGCGCACTCGCAGCACCAACGCGCCAGCCGCGCGCCGCGCGCGCCACGCAGGCGCCCACCGCGCTTGCACCCCCCTGCGCGCTCTGCCTCCCACCTCGCACTCCACCTCGCCGCTCCGCCCACCCCCGGAGCGTCCCGCGCCCGGCTCGCCCGCGCAGAGGTCCTGAAGATGGTGATGGACCTGTCGCAAGGGAAGGCGGCGGCCTCGCAGCTCCCGAACGGCCGCACGCCGCTCCACGTTGCTGCCGGCCTGGGCCATATTTCCAACATGAGGCTTCTCATCGCGTTTGGGGCGGACGTGAACCTCCCCGACATCGACGGCCTGACGCCCCTGCACCACGCCGCCGTGTCGGACTCGTACTACGCCGTCGACCTGCTCCTCATGGCCCAGGGCATCAACCTCAAGGCAGAGGACAAGCATGGGTGCGGCCCCCTGTCCGGGCGCCCGCGCCGCCCGCCGCGCCGCACGCCCCCGCGCCGCCGCGATCCGGGCTCCACAGTTCCTTGTCTTCCCGGCCGCCCCTGCAGACGGACGCCAGCGGTCGCAGCGCCGCGCGGGAGCGCCAGTTACCAGATCCTGGCCGAGGCTGAGGCTGCAGCCGCGGCAGCGGAGGCCAAGCCCGCGGACACGGGGACCGCGGGCGACGCGAAGCCCGGCACGGTGCAGACGGGGGAGAACGCGGCGCCACGAAAGGGCTTTTTGAGCCGGTGTTTCTGCGGGGGCGCGCAATAGGACAGGGGCGGCAGCAAGTGGGACAGGGCGGGCCGCACGCGCGAGATCCCGTCCTTTCCGGGCGCGTGGCAGCAAATATTCCGCGAACACGCGCCCGAGGACCTTCCTGGCACGCTGTTGCGCGGCGCCGGGGACCCACAGCGCCCCCACAGGCTGCTGGCACGCCGGCGAGTGCGGGGCCGAGGCGCCCAGCAAGGGCCTCTTCGCACCGCTGCTCCCCCGACCAAGACGGCCGCCTGCGCCCTAGTTTCGTGATGCATGCTGCGCTGGACCTCCTCCGGCCCTCCATGTCGCCGCCGGCGACCACCTCTCGATTCGCCCGCTTCCGCTCCCGTCGCGGTGCCCTCGCGCTCACCTACGCCTTTCCTACGCCGCCGTGCTTCCGTGCAAGGCTCTGCGTCGGTCCGACTGCCAGCCCACGGTCCGGCCGCACTGCAACGCAACTCTATTCGAGGGGGTGGGGCCGCTACGGCGCGGCCCCCCCGATGCACAGGCCTGGCCCGTACGTGCCGCTAGAGACTGTGAGGCCTCTCGAAGACGTCGCGCGAGTCACCGCTTTCCGCCAGCGAGAGGGCATGCACCAAGCGTCCTCGCGGTGAGGGTGCTTGTAATGAACTTTCAGTCTGACGAAAGGTGTCAAACTGGAGGTCACAATAACCAAGGAAAGGGGTGGCCGAGAGCAACGACGTGGTGGAGTACCCGCACGCAGGATGAGCAAGCAGCGGCAACAGATGTCGGGGTCCCAGCACCTGCGCACGCAGCTTGAATGAAGTCTTGGATCAGTGACGAGCCCCGCGGGCGTGCGGGTACTCGTCGGCAAGCCCCATCACGCGCCCCGATGTCGTCGGCCGGCGACCCTGCCCGGTGAGACACACGCATGACATCACGCACGTCAGGTGAGGCGGTGACAGCCCCCTCACGTCACCCGCAACTCGGGCCGCTCCTGGAAGCGCACGTTGGGCAGCGGGTCCGCGTGATGGTTGGCAGGGGGTGGGGGTGCATCGCCCAGGAAGCTCGTGCATGGACCTTTAACACAACGATGATGTTGTAGGTCAGCGAAGAACTATGCACCGCGATGACGGGCGGGAAGCTGCCGGGCGGCTCGAACAAACACGGGGGCGCCTCGTGGCGCAGAGCACGCCGGCGAGCACGGCTTCGCACGGAAACACGCCATCGAGAGGATCGCACACATGCCTGCAACGGCGACGTCGCGCGTGCGGGGCGGGCGTGGCCACGCCCTACGCGCTGTTCGTTGAGACATGGCGTCTTCTCACAGCCGGGGAATGGGCGAGGCTGCGTCCCCCTCGAGGGGTGGGCAGACTAGGAGTGTGAGTGTGAGGCTAACTAGGGGAAGCACGCACTGCCCCCATGAACACAGCGCAGCGGCGTGCCCCGGGGGCCGGCTGCGCTCCGCGACGTGCCGGACAGCACGCAGTGTCTCCGCGAGCCGCAGCAGCGTGTAGGATCGTGTTCGCACGAAAGCGTGCGTCGCCGGCGGCGACAGGCCCGCGCTCGAGTTGCTAAGCGTCCCCCTGTGAAGCGAGTGCGGCTGCGTTGCGTCGCCGGGTGCAGGTGGGTCCGGGCGGGATGGCCGCGCCAGGCGGGACGCTGCGCGCATGCAAGTGGGGCGGGACGCTGCCACTGCGGCCCGGCAGACGCCACTCTGTGCCTCTCTAATTCGCGCCAGCCTTTTGCAGGATCTCCGCCGCGGACGCGTGGCCCTCTGCGCCGCACGACGGAACGACCAGCGCGTCAGCACAGTCGACACACACAGCGCGGCAAGCAACAGCTCGCTGTGCAGCGCGCCGGGGCGCGGGGGCGCGCGGAGGTGGGCGGGGCGGGCACGCACTTGACTTGGCGACCGCGAGGGGGGTGTCTCCGGCCTTGTTGGCGACGCTGTGGTTGGTGCCCTTGCTGGCGAGAAGCACCGAGAGCGCCTCCGCGTGGCCCTCCCGCGCGGCGAGGTGCAGCGCCGTGTCCCCCGCCTCGTTCCCCACGTCGCCGCGGCACCCCTGCTCCACCAGGTACTTCACCAGCGGGACGCGGCCGTGGAAGGCGGCGACGTGCAGCGGCGTCTCCTGGCCCTTGTTGCGGGGCTCGAGCTCCGCGCCCTGGTACACGAGGTACTGCATCATGAGGGGATCGCCGTCCGCGGCGGCCGCGAGGTGCATCGCCGCGTTGCCGTCGCGGTTGCGCCCGTTGGGGTCGGCGCGCCCATGCTTGAGGAGGTAGCGCGCGGCCTCGACGTGCGAGGAGCCGTGCGCCGCGGCGGCGTGCAGCGGGGTCTCCCCGCGGTTGTTCTTGAGCCGGACGTTCGCGCCCCAGGATTCCCGCAGGTACTTGATCACGCTCGCATGGCCCCCGCTGGCAGCAAAGTGCACCGGCGTCTCCCCGCTCTCGTCCTTCTCGTTCGGGTCCGGGCACTTCAGCAGCAGCTTCCCGATCTTCAGCAAGTCCCCCTGCGCCGCGGGCCGGCCGGGAGGCGCGCGGGGTGAGCCGGGGCGCCCAGCGCTCGCCAGCTTCCCACACCATCTGGCCCCCGCACGCGCGTCCCGGGGGGCGGCGACGCGGCCCCGGCGGCGCGGCGCGCGGGCGGGTGCGGTCGTGACGGCGGGGCGCGGTCGCGGGGCCCTGCGGGGCGCACCTCTTTGCAGGTTTGGCACAGTTCGACGAGGGCTTGTTTCTGGGCCTGTGCCGAGAGCTTCTCGCCGAAGCCTATGTCCGCGGCGACGGCCGAGCGCGTCGGCGTGGCAGCCCGCGGCTCCTCCTTGCCTCCTTGCGGGGTCGGGTCGCGCATCTCGCTCGCGGCGGTGGGCGAGACGACTTGCTCAACAGCCTGGACGACTTCCGGCCCTGTGCCCGTGGGCCTTCTACCAGACGCCGACGGGGTGAGGCCTCCCTCGCTCTTCTCGGGCGTCTTGTTGTTACTTGAGTGAACTGGGTTGTGGTTGTGCTCCAGAGGTACTAAGTTCGTGGCCTTGTCTAGGACATCCACCTCCTGCGCGAGGGGCGCGCGCGGGCGGGGGCGGTGAGCCTGCCGCGCGCCGGAAACATGCAGTGCGAATTGTGACGCTCATCGGCCCGGAAGGGTGCGCAGCAGCCCGGCCCTCGCGGGGGAGGAGCCGTGACAGCTGCCTCCGCCCGCGGCGGCGTGCGTGGCCAGATCGCGGGCCGTTGCCGCGGCCAGTCGAGCATGTACTTCGGGATCACCGGGCGGGGGTCGACGGGCGGATACCTCGTGCGGCTGCTTGGGCGGTGGCCGGACAGGTCCCGCCTTGCCAGCTGCCTGCTGGCCGCCGGTATGCTTCTCCTCACGCGCCGGCTTGCTGGATGCACACCCCATCAGCTACGAGGCAGCAGCGGAGACCGGGGACGGTCCAGCCGGCCGCCACCGCTCCCGCACGCGAGCAACCAGGGCACGACCTCGGCGCAGCAGTCCTGGGAGCTCGGGACAAATCACCTGCCGTCGGTGCCGCGGGGCGCAATTTCCCCGATCCCCGGCAGCCGGTCCCGATCAGCGCCCGCCGCCCGGAACCACGTCACGGGGCCGAGCGCTGGTGCCGTATTGCGGTATGACGCCCCCCGGCTCTCCGCCGTGAGCCTCCACGCCCCGCGCATCATCGCGCGGCCGGAGCCCGTCCCTGCGCTACTGGCTCGCCCTGCCTAGGGGCCCGAGGAAGCCCCGACATCGCGGTGCGCTGCGGCAAAGCGACAGTTGCACCCAACCCTCCCGGGCATCGGCGCGGCCGCGCGAACGGAGCCTCGATGGAGGCGGTGTAGGATCCTAGTGCTGGTCGTGCGCCCGCGAGTGCCCCGGCGCCGCGATGCCGCCGCGAGGCCAGGAGTCCGCACCGTTCTTCAGTGCGCCGCAGCCGAGCGAGCCGCTGGTGCAGGGCAAGAGGCTGGACGGCCGAGGTCCCGCGGAGTTCCGCAATATACGTGAGCGTACATCCGCTTGTCGCCACCCGCGCGGCCGGCGCTCCAGCAGACGTCCTGTGGACGATGGTTTGCTGCACCCGCACTAGCTCTGCGCTCTCTTCGGCCCCGCCCGCAGCTGCCAGCGCCGCTCCGCGCACGCATTGGCCCCTCACGCAACGAAGCAGTGCCGTGCTCGCCCGAGCGCCGCGTGTCCGTCCGCTGCGCGCGCTGCAGACCTGAGGGCAGGCGTGGTGGGCAAGGCGCAGGGCTCCTGCTACGGCGAGCTCGGCACGACGAAGGTGATGGTGGGCGTGTACGGTCCGAAGCAAGCGTCGCGCGCCCAGGGGTACAGCGAGCGCGCGGCGCTCAACTGCGAGGTGAAGTACGCGGCGTTTGCCACGCGCACGCGAGCCCCCGCGGGCCTGGCGGAGGAAGAGCAGGACGCGTCGCTGCAGCTGCGCAGGTGCGCGGGCCCCGAAAGATGACGGAGCGGCACGAGCCGTCCCCCCCGCGCGGCTGTCCTCACGATTGCCCGCATGTACGCGCACGCAGGACGCTCGAGAGCGCGCTGATGCTGCACTTGTACCCGAAGACCAGCATCGACGTGTTCGTGACCGTGATCGAGTCCGGCGGCAGCGACGCGGCGCTCATCACGGCCGCCGCGTCGATGGCAGTGGCGCATGCCGGGATTGCGATGGCGGACCTGCTGCCGTCGTGCTGCGTCGTCCGGGTGAGTGGGGGACGCACGCGCGTGGCGCGCGCCTGTGGCGGGCTGGCCGTCGCTTGGCTGGGCAGTGTCGGCATCGGCTCGCAAATGAGTCGTGTTTTCATATTTGTTCTTGCATCGCCGCGCTCTTGTTCGCAGTTGGGACAGCAGCTGCTGATGGACCCCACGGACGTCGAGGAGGCGGCGTGCGACGGTCAGATGATGGTCACGATGACGGCGCGCCGCGGGGAGGTGTCTCAGATGGTGTCAAGGGGGGAGTGGCCAGGAGACACCTCCCAGGCAGCGCTGCAGCTCGCGGCCGAGGGCTGCGCGGCGCTGGACGAGCTGATGAGAGAGACGCTGCGGGAGGCGCTCGAGGCGTGAGCTGCTGCGGCGTCAGGGGGCAGAAGCACGCCACGTAGTGCCCCGCACGCGGCAGACGTGTGAACACGTCGACGTTCCGAGCGTCGCCCTCGCTTGTGCGGCCCCTGAGATGATAGAACGCGCGGCAGGCCACGACCTCCGGACACGCGGGGCCGTTGCGTGCGTGTTGCACTCGCGGGGGGATGTCACCCGAGTCAGGTTCGGTGTCATAAAGTTACCAGGCAGCGAGAGGCCGGGTCGCGCTTTGTGGGGGCGTCGCCTGCGCCGTCTCTGTCATGACGGACTGGGGCGCTCGGGTGTTGTTGGTCCAGGGCGTCGCAGAAGGCGTTAAGGTCTGCAGGAGGCTGGTGCTTGCTGGTGTGCGCTCGCACCGGTACCTGGCAGCTCGAGACGCATCTACGAGGCAGGAATTCGAACAGGCGTCGCAACCGAGCGCCCGACGACTGCTTAGGCTCGGGGTCGTCGAGCTGGGAGGTGCGCCCGCCATCACGCCCCTGCGAAGCAATGGGCATCGCGCCCGGAGAACGAAAGGGTTCCTTGCCGCGTGAAGTGGGCCTTGATCGAAGTACTGCGGATGAGGCATCCATGGATGTCCCACATTGGCAACGTCGCTCACGTTCAAGCACTGGTTGGCCACTGTTGAACCGCAGGGCAATGTCGGACAACCTGGACGTCTACGATACGTTCGCGGCGGCCATCAATGCGACAAAGACAGCGAACGATGCCTCCGATGACAGATTCGCAGCCGGAGGCTTCTTTCATCTACCTGCGGCCTCACGGAAGCGCACAGCAACAGGGGGCAGCAACCCTGCGCTCGCAGGCCTTCGAGTCGGCGACATCGAGGTCTCGCTCCCCATCACGAGCGACACCCTGGCCGCGCTCGATGCCGTCGCGGAGGCCGCGCCGTGCGGCCAGGGCATGCAGACGCTGGTCGATGAGGCGGTGAGGCGTGCACAGAAAATCGACGGCGACCAGGTCACGCTGTCGGCGCCGCTGCAGCGCGCGCTCGAGGAGGAGGCGCAGCGCCTGGCGCAGAAGAGGCTCGGGGTCACGGGCGGCGTGCGCGCCAGCCTGCACCAGATGTGTCTGTACACCCCCGGGGGGCACTTCGCGGAGCACCGCGACACGGAGAAGGAGGCGGGGATGTTCGGGACGATGGTGGTGCAGCTGCCGACGGAGGCGGGGCACGAGGGCGGGCGGCTGATCGTGAGGCACGGCGACCAGCGGCGCAAGTTCTGCGGCCCAGCGGCGCCCGGGGCGCGCGAGGCGGTGGTGTGCGCGTTCTTCGCGGACTGCCTGCACCGGCTGACTCCGGTGACGGCGGGGCGGCGCGTGGTGCTGGCGTTCAACCTGGTGCGCGACGGCACAAGCAGCTCCGCCGCAGTGCGCGGCGAGTGCGCGGCGGCGCGCCACGCCCGCAAGTGGCGCGAGAGGCTCTCTCGGGCGGTGGAGGCGTGGACGACAGAGGGCGGAGCGCAGGACCGTCTTGTGGTGCCGCTGGGCCACATGTACACGCAGCTGAGCCGGCCGATGCGCGCGACTGACCTGAAGGGCACCGACGCGGACGTGGCGCGGATGATGCTGGGCGTGGAGGGCCTGGAGGTGGCCCTGGGGTGGGTTGAATGCACGGAGCGCGGCGTGCCCGACGGGGACCCCGGCAACCCCAACGGCTGCCAGTACCCACGCGGGTATGACATTGATGACCCGGAAGACGGCTTCGTGGACTACGACCACCAGGAGGGGGTGACGGGGCCCGAGGTGGACGCGCTGGGCATGGAGGACGTCATCGACACTGAGTGGAGCATCAAGTGGACCTCGCTGCGGGACGGAGCCACGAGGAGCGACCACGGAGACATCAATGACGAGAGCGACGTGCTGCCGAGCGCGAGCGGCGACGACGATTACTTCCTGGGCGATGCGGTGGAGGCGACGTACTCGGGATACATGGGGAACTGGGGGCCGGACCTGACGCGTGTGTACCGCCGCCTGATGCTTGAGTTGCGTCCGCAGGACGTGTAACAGACAGCAGCGTCATCGGGGCGGCGGACGCGCGGCCGCCCCCCGATCGCGGTCGTGCCCACGAGCTTGTTAGCGATGCGAGCTTCGCTGCCGGGTCCGCAGCGTTCCAGGCCTGGCTTGGCGCATGTGTGCATGCACCCTCACGTCGCCTCACGCCTCGGGGGCAAACCCAGGTCGATGGAACGGCCTCGAGCCTCCCCTAGCTATCAAAGGAGCGACCGACGGGGTGGATTTGCCGTCGCTCTCGCCCAAGGCACAGCAAGACCCGTGGGCGCTTGCCGTGCTCGGGCCCGAGAGTCCCCGCGCCCGAGGGCTCCGCGCCTGCGGCGACAGGTCGGTCCGCTCGCACGAACGCGCGCTACATACAGCAGGTCGCCCAGTGCGCTAACGCGCTTCACAAGCTGCGGAGCAGGTGTCGCACGGTACGCCTCCCGCGCCTGCGTAGCAACGGGCGAAGCACCTGAGCGCTGACACAACCTCGAGCGGTCCGACCGCCGACTCTGTCTACTGCGTTGCTTATCCAGAGGCTCAGGTCCTCATTGCCTGTGCGGCTGGGTTCGTCGCGCACTGCGACGGACAAAAGCGCCGCAGATCCATTTGGGCAGTTTGGTTGAAACGGCCCGCTCTCGGCTGCTCCGTCGTTCTGAATTTCACCCGGTTTCGACATCAGTTTTGAATTATCGTAGAAGACGGTCTCGGACGCATTCGCGCAACCGCGATGGAACCCCCCCCCCTTCCCCGCCTGTTCGGGATGCGGCGCAGCGGCGCCCGATGGCGGCCCGCCGAACGCTCCGCGTGCCGCGCTTCAGGCCCGTGGTACTCACACCAGGTCACTCGCTTCTCCTCCCGCTGGCGCAGGATTCACGCGAAGAGCGGCTCTATTCGCGCGCCGGGCGGACTGTCTGCAAGATGCGTCCCAACGCCCTGGCCGCCGCCCAGGTCAACCAGTCCAACGGCACAGGGCGAGCGCCCGCGAAGCCGCTTGTCCAGGGATCCGGGGGGGCTCTCATCCAGGCCGCTCCCGAGCAGGACAAGGAGAACGCGACGGCAAGACCCCGCGACACCCCCCATGTTGGCCCAGCGGCTACGCAGCACGCCCCTGCGGCCGCCACTCCGGCTCCGCGCGCTGTCAGCGCCGAGCTCGCTCTCCCGCCCGGCGCACACCTCTCCGTCGGCAGCCTCGCTGTGCCGCTGCCGGTGACAACGGAGCGTGTATTGACGCTGCTCCGCGTCTCGAGCCCCGGGTCGCTCGGCAGCGACCCGCACGACCCGAACTCGACCGATCGGGTGCCCTTCGAGGTGCACATCCCCGCGTCGTACACGGACATGTCCCCCGAGCTCAGCGACGCGGTGCACGCGCACGCGCAGCATCTTGCCCGGGGCATCGGGGGCGCGTCGCCGGTCACGCCTGTGCTCGAGGACGTCGTCGTCAACGTAGCCCCGCGGCTGTTCGCGGACCCGTGGGCCGCCGGTCGCGACGCACCTCCCGGGTCGCGTGGACGCATGGTGGTGCAGCTGCCATCGGAATTCGGTCACTCCGCAGACCAGGTCTCGGCGTGGAAGCAGGGCGACGTCGTCGGTTGCCGGCTGTTCCAGCGGCCCTTCACGCAGGACACGCGACTCGCCCGGACCGTCGCCTTGCAGCCTGGCACGCAGCATCGAGTCATGACGGGGCTGTGCTGCACGGTCAGCCTCGTGTTCGACCTGCGGAGCGCCCAGGACGAAGCAGCACGAGCCGCCCCGGCGCGCATCCAGGCCGAAGAGGAGCAGCCTGCTCCGCAAACGGGGTGAGACCCCCCCCTTGCGTCACGCCCATGACGCAATGCGTGCCACGCCGCGATCCTGGACCGCGCACCACGCTGCAGCCCCGCCGACGCCGCGCTGTGCCCGTGTCGTCCGCGTCGCAGGGGCGCGTCGCTCGCCACCACATACGAAGATTTCTACGATCTCTTCCTGGTATTTGAAAAGACCATCCAGAAGATGAGGGCCGCGTTCGAGAGCGCACAAACGGACGACGGCTTCGCCCTGAGCCAGTGGCAGCGTCTGTCTGACATCCAGGGCGCCGGCGAGGCGGCCGGCGTTCGCGTCGGCGACGTGAACGTACAGCTCCCTATCACGAGCGAGACCCTGGCCGCGCTGGACGCCGTCGCCGAGGTCGCGCCGTGCGGCAAGGGCATGGACACGCTGGTCGACCAGTCCGTGCGGCGTGCGCAGAAGATCGACGGCGACCAAATCACGCTGTCGGCGCCGCTGCAGCGGAGCGTTGACGACGCCGCGACACGGCTCAGCGCGAGGCTGCTCGGCGTGGACTGCCCCGTGCGCGCCAGCCTCTGGCAGATGTGTCTGTACTCCCCCGGGGGGCACTTCGTGGAGCACCGCGACACGGAGAAGGAGGCGGGGATGTTCGGGACGATGGTGGTGCAGCTGCCGACGGAGGCGGGGCACGAGGGCGGGCGGCTGATCGTGAGGCACGGCGACGTCGAGCACGCGTTCTTCGGGCCCGCGCCGCCCGGGGCGCAGTGCGTGTCGCTGTGCGCGTTCTTCGCAGACTGCCTGCACCGGCTGACTCCGGTGACGGCGGGGCGGCGCGTGGTGCTGGCGTTCAACCTGGTGCGCGACAAGACGCAGACGCACGCGCAGCCCTCCGGTGGCTCGCTGGCCAACTTCGGCGCCGGTGCGTCGGCGCGCGTCGCGCGGCGTCTGCACCCGAAGCTGTCGGTGGCAGCGGCGGCGTGGCGGGCGCGCTGGGCGGAGGAAGGCTACTCGCGGATGGTCGTGCCGCTGGGCCACATGTACACGGAGCTCAACTGGCCGAAGACCGTCGAGGACCTGAAGGGCAACGACGCGGACGTCGCGCGGATGCTCCTCGCCTGCGACGACTTGGACGTCGCGGTGGGGTTCTTCCAGTGCGTGGAGCGCGGCGTGCCGTCGGGCGAGCCCGGGCGCAAGAAGGCGAAGAAACAGTGGTACGACTACTATTCGGACGAGGAGTGCGAAGGCAAAAACATAGTGACGGGCCCGCTGGCCGAGGCGATGGAATTCGAGGAGTGGCTCGACGGCGAGTGGACGAACAAGTGGACGTCCCTGCGCGACGGAGCGACGTGGCACGACCGGCGCGCGGTCGACGACGAGGAGCTGCAGCAGCTCCCTGGCGCGAGCGGCGCAGTGGACTTTTTGGGCAAGTGTGTGGAGGCGACGTACACGGGGTACCAGGGGAACTGGGGCCCGGACCTGGAGCGGGTGTACCGGCGGGCTGCGCTCGAGGTGCGGCCGATCGGGACGCGGCCGGAGAACCAGGGTGAGGCGAAGGGGCGCATGGACCAGTGGAAGGCCTGGCTGGGAACAAGATTCGAATGAACAAATATGATGTGTGGGAGGCCGGAATGTGTGAGACACGGAGAGGGACGGCGCGTGACTGAGTCTCGGGGTGAGCGGGGGGGGGGACTGTTTGCCTCATGCACCACGATGACTTGCGCGCTGCCATTGCCTCGTCCGTGAGGAATGCCGGGGCAAGTGTCCGGTAGCGCGCCGCCGGGACGCGTTACGTGTCAGCCTGCGTCGGACCTGCTGCGTGAAAGGCAAGGGCGACCTGTTCCGTTGGCACCAAGCAAGACGCAAACGACCCCCGCCCGGTCGGGCGGCTCGAAACCGCAGGACGACCAGCGGGGGGGACCTTGACGCAGTTTCGAAGCAACATGCTGAATGAGTCGGCTCCGGACGCTGCCTTGGCCTATGGTACGCCTCGCGCCATGGTGCTGTTGCCGGCGCTTGAAGCCCTCCTGCGCCAACGTGTGCCAGCGAATTTCGCGTCGAATCAGTCCGTTGGGGTGTCATGCAACTTCACATGCCGCGTGCATCCCCTCAGGCCGCGGAAATCACCGCAAATGCCCTACCTTGCATGACCAAAATTCGGTTTTGGCGGTGGCAGATGCTCAGCGCCCCTTTTTCGCCTCCTTGCCCGCCTCAACCAGTCGAGCGCGGATTCGGCGGTGCCTCGCATGTCTCATCTGGACGTCGAGACCCGAATCTCCGGAGAGATGCCGTTCGAGGCCGCGTCTGGGCGGTCTTGCATGAGGTTCTATGCGCGCCCATCTTGCCGTAATTGCGCATACTTCATGGGTACCTCACGGCGGTCTGACCTCCTCCTTCGCTTCGTGCAGCACGGCGAGGCGGGCCATCGCAGCTGGACGCCAATGGCGTGCAGCTCGCGTACACTGCCCTCGAGAGATACTACATGGGGTCCATGTTGGGAGACGTGCCCGGCCCGCTGCCGTCGCTCGGATCGCAGCCTCTCCCGTCGGGCGACATCAAGGAGTCGCTGGAGTCCGCCCTCGAAGAAGCCGCCGACCACGCGTCGACGCCCGCAGCGTTCTCAGTCATGAGGCTGCCTGCGTCTCGCAAACGCCGCGCGGACGGAAGCGCGGTCCTCGCCGGCCTGACGATCGGCCACGTGGACATCCCGGTCCCGGTTTGCCCGAGCAAGATCGCGCAGCTGGCCAACTTGACAGAGCCCGGTCTGACTGGCGTCATGTGCGGGACACATCCTGGTTCCGAGCACCGCATCGACGGCACGCTCGCGCGGCTGTCGCCGGAGCTGCAGGCCGCGGTCGACAGCCACGCGACACGGCTCGCGATCGAGGAGCTGGGCGTTCCGGGGCCCGTCGTTGCGTATCTCCATCAGGTCGTGCTCACCTGCGGTGCGCAGCGGTACACTGACCCCTGGGAGGGCGACGACAAGGACGGCCTTGTGGCGCGGATGTCTGTCGAGCTGCCGCAGTCGGGCGGGCTCGGTGCGCGCGAAGTGGAGGTGTTTGACGGTCCCATGGAGGCCAGGTGCTCGTCACGGTCCCTCGCGGGACGGACCGATGTCGCTCTGACCTGCGCGATGCTGCCAGGCACCCAGCACACCGTGTCGACGACGAGTCCGATCGCCGTCACGCTGATGTTCAATGTCTTCTATGTCGACAACGGCAACCGCACGCCCGCGGCCGTGCGCCCGTTGCGCACCGTCTTCGACAAGCACAAGGCGCACCTGGACCGCTGCATCACGGAGTGGACGGAGGAGCTCGCGAAGGTCGACGAGAAGCGCTGCCGTTGGCCGGGGCGGTTTGTGGTGCCGCTGAGGGACCCGGAGGAGGAGTGCGACATGAGCGCACAGGAGGTGCCGCAGCTCGGGGAGGCCGACCAGCGGATGGTACGCGTGCTGCTCGCCTTCGAAGAGCTGGACGTCTCGATCGGGTGGATCGACACGACGTTGCAGGGCAGGCCCCACCGGGAGCTGCCCGAGCATCATCCGCACGACAGCTCCGAAGACGAGGACGAGGACGAAGAGCTCATGGGATGTCGGCCGTACTTCATGACGGCCGGGTACATGAGGGCCCGCGAGTACTTCTCCAAGCGCAACGGGTACAGGGCGCCGTGTCAGCCCTGTGGATGTGAGGATCCGATCACAGGCAAGGACAGGCCCGTGGAGCTGCCGCTGCCTTGTGTCGGACGCGCGGCGCTCGCGGTGCACTCAGCCGGCACCTTGCGGCGATGTTTCGCAGGCGAGGACGTGGACGAGCTCGAGATGAGAGAGGCGCGCGTTGTCGGAAGAGAGGAAACGTGGTACGACGCCCGCAGTGGAGGTCTGGCTGCGGAGAAGCAGTACACCAGCGAGCTCCCGAAGGCGGAGGTGTTGGGCCGTTGCGCCGACGACGGCGCGCCCCACGGCGACTTGACTCAGGCCAAGTACTTCTACTGCACAAACAGCGAGAGGCCGCACCTCAAGCACGAGCTGCGGCTCCCGGCGCTTCAGGTCCAGCTGCGGCGCCTTCCTGTTCGGATGGCGCTCCGGCTGAGTCGCGAGGAGGGACTGGAGCGCGTGCTGGCGCTGTTGGAGGAAGCAAAGGGCAACCTGGGTGCGGCTGAGCACGCCGACCTGCGGGCGGTCGCCGGGGAGCTGCTGGACCGCGAAATCGCGGAGACAAAGGCGCTGCACGTCATGCCGCTCCTGCGCGCACTCCGCACGCCCGAAGCCGCAACCAAGGTCCTCAACGCAAGCGCGCTGTTGCGCAGCCCAGACTACACTTTGAGAGCAACGCCGGGGTCGCGGTGGATGCGGATGACGTCGTCGGATCTCCGCGAGATCGTCGACATGTGCGGCTGGGACTCGGTGGCCAGCGCCGTGCGGTCTCTCGTGAAGGACTGCGCGAAGAAGACGCAATTCCACCGCGACGTGTTCCGGGCGATCTGCGGCGCCGGGGACCGCCAGAGCGTGCTCGAGGTGATCAAGCAGGGGTGGGACCTGCAGCTGGAGGACATGACTCTGGCGGTGGAAACATTCGGTTGGGGGTTGATGGCGGAGCCGCTGCGAGGTGGCCTCGAGAAGAGCAGGCGCGTGTTTCCTGCGGCGCTCCTGGAGCTGGTCCTGCCCGTGGAAAATGCCGCCCTGACTTCCGCCGCGGTCGGGCGCCTGAGGCTCGGCAACAGCGCGGGAGACATGTCACTTGACAGCTTGAAAGCAGTGATTGAGCGCCACGGTTGGACACAGGTGCGTAATTCACTCGAGTACCACGCCGCGTGCCTTCGGTTCTGACAACGAGCAAGCTCACCTCCTGCGCATTCGAACGTTCCGCGAAGCAGGTGTGGCGCGGTGTGCGCGAGTTGGTGTCCTCTTGCCGCATCAGCACTTCTGGTGAGGGATGCGATCGATCTGACGTCCTCCGGTTGTTCTGCGAGATGCGCATCGCTCAGGGGGCAGCGTACGTGATCGAGACAAGCTCGCCGTGCGAACAGGACTGCAAACTCGCGCTGGCAGACGTCCAGCGTGGAATTGAGCTGTTCGGTTGGCCAGCGATGCGGGAGTCGGTGCGGCAGTTCTTCCAGAGGGGCAGCCGCGGGGAACCAGATCGGCGGTGGTCGCCACAAGGGTGGCGGAGCTGGGCCGAGAGGCAGTGGTGCCGCATCTCTGCCCTGCAGTGGGCTGTTGAGGCAGGCCTGGAGCACGCCGCGGCGATGATCCTCACGCACTGCAGCGCACAGGACAAGGGTACGCGGGTCAGCGCCAGTCCCCAGGCGCTCGCCAGCCTGATCGACAAGTTCGGCCGCGCACCGTTCGAGCCGCAAATCACGCGCCTCCTCGCGCCGCCAGCGACGGGGGGCGCCGCGGCGAGGCCGACCGCGCCCGCGGCGCAGAAACGCGAGCCCCCGAAGGCGCAGGCGTCCGTCGTGCAGCGCATGCTCAGCGGCACCGTCGACGGCGAGAAGGTGGAAAGCGTGCGCCGGTTGTTTTTGAACAAGGGGCTGCCCTGCGGCACCGTGGAGGCCGAGCGGCGTCAGGCGGCGCGGATCGTCAAGACCGTCGTGCAGAAGGCGCGCTGGACGCTCGACGGCGACGCCGACTCCGCGGACGCCCGGCTTCTGCGCGCGCTCGTCAACCTCGCGCTGGTCGTGGGCGCTTTGCCCGCCCTGCGCGACGCGGCGACGTCGGGCGCGATGAACGTCGCTGCGCTGTGCACCCTCGTCAGCGCGGCGCCCGCTCTGACCAAGGCGGGCGCCGCCAGCGTCGATGCGCTGCGGGCCATCGGCGACAGACTGGAGAAGCTTTGGGTGGAGGGTTTGAAGCGACGGGACGGCGCGATGATGACCGAGGAGAGCGTCGACGAGACCATGGACGTGGTCGGCGCGCTGCTGCGCCACGATCCGCAGGGCGGCGTCCGCCGCGTGCTGCGGGCGCTGCCCGGGCGACGCGGAAAGATCCCGCGGGAGCGGGCACCGCTGCTGCGGCGCCTGGCGTCGCGCGACGAGGCGGACGAGCTCCAGCGCGGCGCCGCGGAGCTGCTGCTGAGGCTGCTGCAGGACGCGCCGGCCCCGGGCGCGGTCCCGCCGGAGCAGGACATGGAGGGGTGGGGTGTCAGTGGTATAAAGATAGAGGACCCAGTGCTGGACGCGTTCCTGCAAGGCCCGGAGCAGTCGTTCCGCACGCCGGAGGGGATGTTCAAGACGGACGCGCAGGCGCGGGTGTGGGCCGGGAAGCTGTCGGCGCGGGTGCGGCAGCTGAGGGTGAAGCCGCTGGAGGGCGAGGCGGCGGTGGTGGTGACCAAGACGCTGCCCTGGCTGTGCAAGGTGGGCGGGCAGTGCCGGGCCGAGGAGGTCGGGCGGCTGGAGAAGATGCTCGCGGGTGCCACGAGAGCGACAATCAAGAATTAATTAATAAAGCGATGGCCACCAAATGCATTGCATCGAGCTGTGAGTGACGCGGGGGTCAATTGCGGGGGGCAGTGCCGTGCTGACTGCGCGCATGCAATGGTGGCCGGCAGGTCTTCTGCGCAAGGAAACTATTCGTTCCTGTCGGGCGGCACAACTTGACTCAAGTTCCTGCGTCAGCAGTGGCGCTGCACGCGGCACGCTCGCCGCCCGTTCGGATGGGGCCCAGCAGGTCGTACACGGCAGGCCGGTGCGGAAGCGCTCGCCTGTCCGTCTGCGGGGAAGTCCTTGACGTCAGCACGGGGTGTTCTCCAGGTCAGCGAGCACCTTTTCGGGGCGTCGGCGCCGTCGTTCCCCGCACAGTTCCTTGGAAGGCCATCTCCAACGACTGACGCAGGTCTGTGCGAGGTCGAAACCAGAGCAGCGCCCCAAGGAACGCCCTGCCGCCGGAATGTCGCTGCGGGCACTCTCCAAGACCGCAACCGGCGCGCTTCCGGCCCGGCCGCGCGCCCGAGTTGTCGCCGGGGCCACGCAGACCACGCAGACTGCAGACCGACCTCTCGCGAAGCCGGCTGTGTTCAATGCAAGCCGTCCGAGGCACGACGACGCCCGCGTGGTGTGGGGCCCAGCGGAAATGATTCGGCTCCCGGGCGTGAACGCAGTCGTCATTCCGAGCCCTGCTAACAAGGACGCCAAGCTTGCCCCGTCGGTGATTGAGAAGGAGTTCAAAGACGTCCCCGACGTCCGACTCGACGTGCGTCCCTGCCCAGTGCCGCGCATCCTAGCTCGCCGCGACCCCGCTCGTTCCACGCGCGACGTGAAACCTCCGCGCTCACGGAGGCTCTGCATCTTCTAGAAGAAGCCGAGCGGCCGCTCGATGCGTCCAATACGGCGGAGATGCGTTCGAGCGCGGCCCATCCCTACCACAGACCATTGCCTCGCCTCGACGGCGACGCGGGACATCCCACCCTCGCACAACCCGACGCGTGCACTCGCAGGTACCGATTCGGCGCGACGACATCGACGCCGGGGCGCGGGCGTTCATCGACGGGCTCCCAGCCGGCGCAGGCTCCCCAGAGCTGCGGGTAGCGCTCGCGGACGACGTCGCGCGCCTCGCAAAGGCGTTTTTCGTCGCGTGCCCGGACCTCACCGCTGTCAAGGTGATGCCACGCCGCCACCGTGCGCACATCCAGTCCCGAATCACTCATGTCTTGTCCTGTGTTGCAAACAAGGACCCATGCCTGAAACCGCTGGCCCGCGCCGTCTTCGCAGGCCACCCTCGAGCTCGTCTCGTTCGTCCCGTGCCCTCGCTGGCACGTCGACAAGGTCCGCGCGCGCCTCATTTGCACCTACGCTGGCGCGGGCACTCGCCTCGTGGAGAACGCGGCCGTCAAGCGCAGCCCGCTCCTGCGGCGGCGGCTCCGCGGCGACGCCGGCTTCGTGGTGAACGAGGCGCACGCCGTGTCGACGGGCAGCGGCGAGGCGCTGCTCCTCAAGGGCGAGGCCTGGCCGCAGTATGAGGGCCTCGCGGTGGTGCACGCGTCCCCGGAGGACCCGGGGAAGTGGGGCCGCCGGCTGATCGTCAAGCTCGACGCCGCGGACGACGTCTGCCTCGACGCGTGCTGCGCGCACAACCACTAGACCCAGAGCCGCTTCAGCGGCATGTGAAAAGCGAGCTCACAAGGCGCTGTCCGTCGGCGCCGCGCTCAGGCGAGGCTGGCCAGGTCCGGCAGCCCGCTCGCCTCGAGCCCCTCGGCCGCGCCGCTGCCGTTCCCGTCCCCGCCCTGCCCCTCGAACCACGCCCGCCAGGCCTCCATCGGGTCCTTCCCGGCCTCCGCGGCCTCGAACATCACGACGAGGTCCTCCGTGATGTGCGACCGCGGCTCCCACGTCTCCGGCGCCCCGTCGCTCCACTCCACCAAGAACTCCTCCTCCTCCCCGCCATCGGGCGCACGCCGCCCCTTCAACTGCACAGCGCGACCCCACCGACGACGTTCGCGCACACGCACACGCACACGCACACGCACACGCACACGCACACGCACACGCAAGCACGCACACGCACACGCACGCGCGTGCAAGCCCGCTAGCACGCGCGGCGCGGCGGGTCCGCACCTTGACTGCGTACGCGTACTCGAGCCCTTGCTGGAAGTCCTGGATGACCTCCTCCGACATGTGCTTGTGCGGCACCCACATCGGGTCCGTGCCGTCCTCCCACTCCACGAGGTACTCGAGGCCCGCCGTGTCCGCCTCCTCGCTCTCGCTCTCCGCGCCCGCGTCCTTGCCCGCGTCCTTGTCCCCGCCCGCCGACCGCACCTCCAGCACCGCCCGCGGCAGCACGTCCTCGAACGTGTTCTCCACGAGGAACCCGCGCACGTCCTCGAGCATCTTGCGCCGCCCGAGCAGCGAGGGGTCGTTCCGCGCCTCGATGTTCTTGCACAGACCCTCCACCAGCTCCAGAGGGGACCGCCCCGCCCGGTCGAGCTGCTCGGGGTCCGCGCCGGCCTCGAGCAGCTCGCGAACCGTCGACACGTGCATGTACCCGGCCGCCATGTGCAGCGGGGTGTACCCGTCCTTGTCCGCCACGTCAACCTGCAGGGTCGCGTTCAAGAGGGTCGGCGTTGCATGACGCAGGGGGGGGGTCGAGGAGCGGCGCCGGGCGCGGCAGAGGTGCGGGCGTACCTCGGCGCCGGCGTCGATGAGGAGGCGCGTGCACTCCGCGGACCCGACGGCCGCGGTGAAGTGCAGCGCAGTACGCCGCTCGAGGTCAAGGGTGTTGGCGAGCACGGCGCGGCCGGTGGACAGCATCTCCTTCATGGTGGCCGCGTCGCCCTTCTTGCACGTGTTCCACCACTTGGCCTCGAAGTCGCGCAGGAGGTCCTTGGACAGGTTGTCTATCGGTTCCCAGGTGTCCGGAGATCCATCCTGCCACTTGACGAGATACTGCGCGGCGTGGCGGGCGCGGGGGCGCTCCTCCGTCAGTGAAGTCGCCGCGGCTTGCGCTCTCTGAACGGCGCGGGCGCCGGAAGGTCGCCCCCCCGCGCAACACGGCAGCGCGAGCCGTTGCGACACACGGATGCTAGCAGGGCGCGCGCAGCGCCCCACGGGCCGAACACAACGACTCGCGAACGCGACGGGGTCGCTGAATAGGGAGAGTACCTGTACGACAGGCCGCCCCGACGGTCCGTCGGGTCCGACGAGCGCGCGGACGCCCACTAGGTCCTCGACGCCGGTGCGCTGCGACGCGCCCGCCCGCGCGGCAACGGAGCGGGGCCGCGCGCACCGTCCTGCGTCCGTGGCCTCAAGGCGGCGCTCCGAGCGCAGCACCGGGCGCCGGTTCGCGCGGGCGAGGGCGGGGCGGGCGCGCCCGGGCGGTGCTGGAAGCAGGCGCCCGCAGCCGGTCTCGGGCAGCGCGGCCGCCCTGGCCGGCGCGCGCGCGAAGACGGACGCGTCCAGGGCCATGGCCTGACTGTGGGCCGGAGTTTGCGGCCGGAGACGCGCGTGTCCTGGGCGATGCGGGATCCCTCGGGCGCGATATTCTGGATCAGGCAGCGACCCCTGCAAGCGCCCCGCTCGTGCCACAACCCGCAGGCGTTCTCCGTGGGTTCGTCTAGGAGAAACCGGGAATTCGCAACTAGCGCAACTGCACGCGACCTCCACCCCTTGCGCGCGCGGTGTCGCGATGGCGCAGGATGCTCCCCCGACTCCCCCACGACGACGTTCCGCCGCTCAGGCCGGGAATCCGAGCCGCGTCCGCGCGGACCACGGTGCACTCGTGCACCCGCCGTCGCAAGAGCGAGCTTCGCTGCTGTAGGCGACGTCGGACCCCCGACTGAACACGCGCACATCAAACGCCCGCCCAGCTCCCGCGTGGATGCACCGCGGCACGTTTCCGGCAGTCCTCCGTCCGCAGCACCGTACGGCCTCTCGCAGTCGCAGTAGTCAGTGTCAACTCCCGCTTGACGCTCGCCGCAACTCGCGTCGTCCTGGTGTGCGCCCAACTGCTCGACGGCCCACGCCCGGCAGGAGGCCCGCCGCGATGCCGTCCTTCGAGGAAGGGGCGTTCACGAGCCCCAGGGGCCGCAAACTCTATACGCTGAAGTGCCTCCCGGACGGGGCGCCGCGCACGCACCTGATCTACCACCACGGTGAGGCTCCCTGCGAGCGCTTGCACTGCACTGGATCTCCCGAACACCACCGCGCACGAACGTTATATGCGGTACGTATACATGCCTGCGACATCCTCAAATCATGACGTGCAGGCCTCGGCGACCACTGCGACAGGTATCGTCTCATGATGGAGCGCATGGCGTCCAAGGGCATCGCCGTGTACTCGTACGACGCGGACGGGCACGGCAAGAGCGAGCCCAAGACCCCCGCGGACCGCTGCTACATTCCTTCCTGGCAGGTCCATTCCCCCCGACAAGCCTCGCCCGTAGTGATCACACCGTTCAATGGTCGACGGTCCAGCCGCCGTGGCGCCGGCACTCTCCCTCGCTCAACGCACGGAACACCGCCGGTCGCGCCGCCCCGCTCTTGGCCGCGCAGGGCGTGGTGGACGAGGCGCTGGCGCATGCCTTCCACGTGCGCTCTTCGCTACCAGAAGGCACGAAGGTGGCGATCATGGGCTCCTCGATGGGCGGGCTGCTAACGGTGCACATGGCCCTGCGCGACCCGGGCGCGTTCTCGGCCGCCGTCATCACGTCGGCCGCCATCGACGTGGAGTGGACGCTGCCGTTGAGAATCATGTCGGCCGTGGGCTCCGTCGTGGCCGCGATGCTGCCCCGGCGGCGGTTCGTGTCGGCGGTGCGCCCCGAGGACATGAGCGACGAGCCGGACGTCCTGGAGGCGTATTTGAGCGACGAGCTCAATTTCATCGGCAACACCAGAAACAGGACCGCCAAGTCCGTCGAGGACGGTTTCAACATGCTGAAGGACATGTCCAAGGACGTGAACGTGCCGCTGCTGGCCATCCACGGGTCGCAGGACCGGTGCACGTCCCTCGCGGCGGCCAAGGCCCTGGTGCAGCAGTGGGGCGTCGAGCCTGCGAAGTCCGCATCCAGGTTCGTGGTCGAGGAGGACGGGTACCACATTCTGATGGTGGGCAAGCGGATGCCGCGCATCATCGACGAAGAGGTGGCGCCGTTCGTGCTGCAGGCGGCCGCAGAGTAGGCGCGAGGCAACCCCTAATGACGCCAACGCAGGATAGAGCACCACGAGTCGAACCCGCGCGACCAGCTCGGTGTTCACGTGCGCACCAGTGACGCTTGAGTGTGAGCCGTCGTGCTCCGTTCGGGGGTGTCACACCACCTCGTCTCGAGGCCCACTGCGGTAGTCGAGAGCTCAGGTGCACAGGGCTGTACAGGGGGGATCTCTGCGCCGATCGCCGGCCCGCGAACTTCCACGACGCGGCGCAGCGGGCGCTCACGACAACTTCACGACCTGAAGGTTCGCGAGCTGTCCCTGGCACGCCGCCTGCAGGTTGGCCTGCTGCGTGGCGTCCAGGCCCTGCGAGGCCTGCGCGAACACCTCCGCGGGCATCATCTGGTGCATCTGCTGCAGCAGCGTCGCCATGCGCTGGGCGCCCTCTTGTCGCACCAGCGCGGTGCCGTGCGTGAGCACGCGCGCCATGATGTTGATGACGCGCGGGAGGTTGGCGTTGTTCTCGCCGAGGATCGCCGCGGAGGACGTCTCCACGAGGCGGCACAGCTGCTCGTGCACCTCCTTGGCCTCCGCGCGGTCCCCCTTGACCGGAAGGTAGTCCAGCAACACCCCCGCCGCGGCCCTGCTGTCAAACACCTCCGGGCAGTGCTCGATCATCTTCCCCAGGCACGACACCGCGTTGTCCGTCGCGTTCTCGTGCTCGTCGTCCCGCGCGTTGGGCGCCTGCACCATCGCGACCACCGTCTGCAGCACCTGCCCGCACGCCGGCACGAACTTCGTCGTGGCGTGCTGCGCGACCAGCCCCAGCCCGTACACCGCGCACTGCCGCAGCGCCGAGTCCTTGCTCGAGCAGCACTCGAGGTACACCGGGAGCAGGTCGTCCACGTACTGCAGCGCCGCCCCGCCCTCTGACGCGAACTCGATGACGTCGTCAAACACGCACACCGCGATCCGCCGCTCCGACGCCGTGCGCCCCTTGTCCAGCATCGGCGCGAACCCGGGTATCAGGCGCGCCACCAGCGGCAGCACGGCCGCCTTGAACCTCCGCAGCAGCCCGGAGAGCACCTCCTGCACCGAATCCAACACGTCCTCCTCGAGCTCGATCTCCTCCTCGAGCGCCTCCGCCTCCTCCGCGTCGAAGTCCTCGTGCTTCTGCCGCTCGATCCGCTTCTGCCGGCGCTCCTCGGACCGCGCCATGACCCGCGCGAGGTCGTCGATGAGCCCCGCGAGCTGCTCCTGACTCAGGAGCTCGCCCGCGACCTCGATGATCCGGCAGTCCGCCTGCAGCATGTCCGAGAGGATGTCCGTCTCGGGCTCCTTCACCACCGCCGCCTGGAGCTTCGACCAGATGAAGTCCAGCATCCCCTTGACCCAGGCCGTGTCCTTCCCGGGCAGCTGCCCCTGCGCGACGCCCTGCTTCGCCGAGTCGAGCAGCTCCGGCACGCTCATCACCGCGGCCTTCCGCACCTCGTCGTGGAAGTAGAACGAGCACAGCGGCGCCATCACCTGCACCACCTCCTCGGCCCACGGGGCAAACCCGGCGCCCAGCTCGTCGACGTAGCAGTACAGCATGTTGCACGCCGTCGCCTTCTCCTCCAGCGTCGCCGTGTGGATCACGATGCGCTTGTCGCCCACGTGGATCGTGTCCACGTCCTCGACGTCCTCCGCCGCCTCCTCGTCGTCTTCGAGGACCTGGACGTCCGGCGTGATGCTCGCGGACCGGATCAGCGGCGGCATCACCCACGACATGTACGGGATGAAGTCCGCGCCCAGGCACTTGCAGATCCGCGTCCAGGCCTGCTGCATGTAGCTGGCGATGGGGTCGTCGTCGTCGTCCGCGGCGCCCGTCGGGTTGGTCCCGCCCTCCTGCAGCCGCTTCATCACGTCGATGATCGCGTTCGCGTCCCGCCCGAACTTCTCCTTCCCCACCGCCATGCCCACCAGGCTCGCGCACTCCAGCGCCTTGGCGCGCAGCATGCGCTGCTCCTTGTTCGCCACGCTGACCAGCACGTTGGACAGCAGCGGCATCACGTGGTCGTAGTACTTGACGAAGTGCGCCTGCGCCGCGTCCGCGACCGACGCGAGCGCCGTCAGCGCCCCCTCCTGCACCAGCCGCTGCCCCGACTGCTGCAGGAGCTCAATCAGCTTCGAGATCAGCGTGTCCAGGTACGGCCCGATGACCTCCTGCTCCGACTGCTCCGAGAAGTTCACCAGCGCGGCCGTGGCGTGCGCCTGGACCCGCGGGCTCGACGCGTCGGACATGAGGTGCAGCAGCGCGGGCAGGATCCGCCCGTGCTCCTTCTCCTGGATGTCCGGGCCCAGGTCGGTGCACAGCTGCCCGAGCGTCTGGCACAGCGCCCAGCGCACGCGCTGGTGGCTGTCGTGCGCGGCCTCGATGATCATCGCCACCACCTGCGACACCTGCCCCGTCATGACCTTCGCGCACCCCTCCGCGACCTGCGCGAGGCAGATGAGCGCCGCGTGCCGCTGCTGCCAGTCCGCGCCGCGCAGGAACTCCGGCAGGACCTGCGCCACGATCGGCGCAATCGTGCCCCCGCCCACGGAGATGGACAGGCGGTCCAGGTAGTCCTGCCCCGAGTCGAAGAGCTCGCCCTCGCCCGCGTTGAGCGCGTCCTCCGTGTCCGCGCGGTACCAGTCCGGGTCGTCGTCCACGTCGAGCAGGAACGTCATCAGGCACCGGAACAGCCGCAGCAGGAAGTCGGGCAGCTTGCGCATCATGCCGGGGGCCTTCTCGCGCGCCTCGCACAGCGTGACGAGGAACTCCGCCGCGAGCTTCCGCGTCGCCTCGTCCAGCGTCGGCGCCTCCGCGATGGTGATCATCGCCGTCACGGTGTGCGGGAGCTGACGCCGCAGGAAGCGCGGCTCCTCCTCCGCCACCTCGATGAGCTGCTCCATCGCGTCCTGCGCCGCCAGCTCGTTGCCTGCGACCGGGGCGGAGCGGGGCCGGTGAGCGCACGCCGCAGGCGAGGAGCGCTGCATGCGAGGAGCGCTGCTTGCGGCCGTCGATCCGGGAAGGATGGCGCAGGGGGCACGTGGCGCCTCAGCCAGCACGTGAAGTGCGCGACAATCTACAGGGGATCGGGGTTGTAAGCCCCCCCGAGTCAGTCCGCCCGTCGATGCTTGTCGTCATCGGCAGCCCGCGTACAGCAAGAGCAGTCGACGTGCAGCGCGCCGCGCGACGCAACGGCGAGCCCCGCCAGCGCCGCCGCGAGCACACGGACACGCGCACGCACACGCGCACGCACGGTGCGGCGCCCGCGCGGCCCCGGTCTGGGCGCGCACCTGCGTTGAGGGTGTTCCCCAGGATCTGGATCATGGTGGGCACCGCGGCCTGGAACCTGTCGCGCTCCTGGGGCGTGCCGAGGCACGTGATGAACGAGCACGTCGCGGTGAGGGCCGCGACGGCCACGTCCTGGCTCTGCGAGCCCAGGCAGCTCGAGAGGACCCCCTCGATGGCGGGGAGGTGCGGCACGAGGGCCTGGATGACGCACTGCGAGAGCTCGGTGAAGACGCGGAGCGCCGCGATGACCATGCGGTCCTGGCCGCTCTGGCTGCACGTGAAGACGAACGGCAGGAGCTCCGGCCACTGGTTGTTTTCCGCGAGCAGCGCCCCGAGCTCGCCCACCAGGTCCGCCACCACGCGCAGGATGTTCGAGTTCGTCTCTTCCTGGAGGACGAGCATGAGCTCGGACTTGACGACGTTCTGCGGCCGGGCGGGAAACGAAGCGGGCCGCTCTTGCGGGCGCGCGGGGACCCCGCGAGCAACACAGCCTCCAGCACGAGGCACCTTGGACTGCCCGGGGGGCTGCCACGGAGCGCGGCGCCAGAGGGGCGACGTGGAAGGGAAATCGGGGCCGGGGGGGCGGCGGCAGCAGGCGTCGGGGCCTTCAGTGTCCCGCGCAGGGCAGGGAAGGTCGCGTGGCAAAGCGCGCGAAACGAAACGCGCGCGTGCGGGCAGCGCGACGCGCGCAGATGCGCCCAGCCGTACGGGAGAGCCCGGGGTGTACAGCTTCCGGAAGGCGCGATGCCAGAGCCGGAGAGCTGCGCGGCGGGCTCGTTCGGCGGGGACGCGAAGGGTGCGTGCGGCAGAGCGCGGGCTCCGCGCAGGCCCTGGGAGGTGGCGTTTCTGCCAGGGCGGCCCGACCGGGCTGGTCTGGGCGTGGAACAGGAGGTCCTCGTGCGGTTGGCGCTGGATGGCAGGCCCCTGCCGCCGCTGAAACGTCGCAGGGGGAAGCAGGTGGGAGGCGGGGGCGAACGGGCGCTACCTTGACGTCGGTCGACAGTTTTTCCCACGCGTTCGATGAATCCTTTATCAGAAACTGCGCGAAACGGATATGTGAGGGAGGGAGGGCGTCTGGGCGCTGCGCGAGCCGAGGCGGACCTGGTCGACCTCAGAGCGCAAGTGGCAGCGCACGGCACGCACCCTTCGGAGCAGCACCGCGGCCATATTCCGCGACTGCTCGTTGGTCGACCTCCTCAGCGCCTGGACGAGGTGCTGCGCCGCGAGGTCCGCGCTCTGTTGCAGTCGCTCAAGGGTCTCCTGTGCTGCACTGCGCTCGTCGTTGTTCGAGGACATCAGGCGATCCAGCAACGCCTCGAAGGTCGCCAGATCGCCATGCATGAGCTTTTGGTCGTCCGCCATCGTGGCGCGGTCCCTGCGCAGGCCAATCGGCAGAGCTGTGCCCCGGGGTCCACAGGCCTACGCAGCGCACACTGCCGGCGTCGCCAGGGTTCGCGCGATCCGGGCGAGGGCGAACTTCACTCGGACCTCCTCAATGCGCGCGCGGCCGTGCGCGAGCCGGCCTTGGGCGCGGCGCCACGCATCGCGCAAGACCCCCCCGGTATGACAACCGGGACTGCGGCAGTGGCACCGGGGAACGCCGCGACGTGCAAGACGCCGCGACGTGCCATGCGGCCGTCGGACTCAGCGGGCGACGCGGACGCTCGGATTGCGCACGGAACCCCTCGTGCACTTGCGCAACGGTCCATGCACGAGGCTGGCGCGGACAGATGCGTCCCCGAGGGATCCGAAAAAGCCGTCCAGGGAAGAAGGCCGCGGGGCCTCGCCGGCTTGGCAAGCGGGGGCGCGCAGTGGCGTCAGCGAGTCGGGCTGGAGGTCGTCCGAGAGCTGCGCCATGGCAAGGTGTGCGGAGGTACTCCTAGTGTTGAAGAGGCGCCCGGCGACGGCTGTGCGTGCCCAGGCGGCCTGCAGCCTCGCTTGGCGGGTGACGAAGCGCATGAAGGCATCTTGGCGGCGCGAACTACCAAACAACCACGTTTGTGAGCGCCACCGGTGAGACGAGCGAGTCACAATGCGTCGCGGGGAGTAGGGGAGGGCGGCGCGTCAGACACGCGCCGCGCTTTGAGTGGCTCGGGTCCGAGCGCGAAGGCCGCCGGCCCACGTTGGCACGGCATGTTGAGGATGAGCCGATTTGGTGCGTCAGGGGGCAGGGGGTCCCATGTCCGCAGCGCCACGGTCCGCAGGGCCGCGAGGAAGGCGTGGCGACGCTGCGGCAGCGCACGGTAGCGGCCGTCACGGACGGCAGTACCGGTGGTCGCAGTAAGTTGTGTGAGCAACTTGTGTGAGCATCCCACCATGCAGCCAAGCATGGTCCCATCATGTGAGCACGCGGAAAAAGGCCTCATAGTCGTAGCAGCCGGAGGGGAGGGAAGGGGAGGGGAGTGTGCTGCGCGGGGAAGGTGCACCAGGTGTCATGTGAGCACGCGATAGGAGGTCTCATAGTCGTAGCCGGAGGGGCGGGAGGGGGAGGGGAGTGTGCTGCGCGGGGAGGGGAATGTGCTGCGAAAAACGGGGCACTAAGCCCGGATCTGCGTGTGAAGCCTGCGGTGTGTGGCGCAGAGCGGGAGCGTGAACTGGCCGCAGCGATGACGCCGCGCTCAGGGCAAAACAACATCGCGCCGGGAGGAACGCACGGCAGTGTGTCCCTCGCTGGTGAGAGTTGGTGCGGCATGAGTCATGCCCTCCTCGATGGCGGGGGTGGCCTCGCTGGCATGACGGCCTTCGTTCGTTGGTGCCAGCGAGAACGGCTGTGGACGCAGGAAAACTTTCTTCTCGCTGAAGGGCGAGAGCGACAGGGGAGCAGCGGGGGAAGTGGGGGTTGCATGACAGGCATGACAGGCAGGCGTGGGGGGGCAGCAGCGGCTGAGCACGGTGAGCATGCTGAGTCAGCTTGGTTGCGAGTCAGAGCGCAGAAGGATCTGAGCACCAATGCTGCAAGGCATGACATGGCAATCGAGAATGAGGGGAGGGGGTAGGATAGCTGGAGTCAATGCCACTGTTTGCAAGTGAACGACCGATTGCTCGCCAATGCTGACATTGGGTGGCGCGACCTGTCGGTCATCGGATCGCCGTCACCGGCAAAGCAGAGGCAGTGAAAGTCAAATTTCGCTCAAGGGACAGGGGGTAGGGGAGGGGGCGGGGGAGGTGGGGAGCTGTCTCTTGGCTCTGCGCAAGGGCGCGCGAGAAGGTTGAGGAACGCGCGCGCGGTAGCCCACGGCGCTTGACGTCGCCGGCTCCAGCGCGGCGACGATGGCACTTGGCTCTCTCCTCACGCGCGCATCACGGGGGGGGCGTCGACAGGGCTACGCACGTCCTTCCTGGACCCGTAACTCTGAGTCACGCCGCTGCAGCCAGCCCGAGCGGTGGTCGAGCTGGAGCCGCCGTACACGGCCTGGTTGCCGATGCTCTTTCCGTGCACCGAGCACGGCCGCAAGTCGCTGCGCGTCGGCAGGTGCGTGATCGGGATGTAGCACGAGGTGTCCTGTTCGGGCTGCAAGATCCAGGGGTGCTGCAGCAGCTCCGCCGCGGAGGGGCGGTCCGAGGCCTCCTGCTCGAGGCACTTGTCCAGGAAGTCCACGGCTTGCTGCGACAGCCAGATGGGCTCGTCGTTCTGGGGCGCACGCAGCTGGATCTTGCCGTCGTCGTCGACGCGCCTCACCGGCACGCAGCGGCCGAGCGTCAGTGTGTCGACGAGGGTCATCCCCAGCGACCAAACGTCCGCTCCGTGGCCGTACGCCGGCCGCAGAATCTTCGGGATGACGCCCCCGTCCTCCTGTATCCCGGCGGCCATGACCTCGGGCGACATGAACTCGAACGTCCCCAGGCGCGTCACCGGGCGCTTGACCTTGGTGTCAACAGCAAAGCCAAAGTCGCACAGGCGGGCCTTGCCGTCCACCATCAGCACGTTCTCGGGCTTGATGTCGCGGTGCAGGATGTCGTTCTCGTGGCACGTCTTGAGCGCCTCGAGGAGCGGCCGCACGACGTTGTGCACGATGGCGGGCTCGCCCAGCTGCAGGAGACTGCGCCGCGCCGCCACCAGGTCGCTCGCCCCGACGGCCATGACGAAGAAGCACGCCTGGTGGTCCTGGAAGGCGGCGTAGAGCGGCACGATCGAGTCGCTGGCAGGCAGCATCGCGTGGATTTCGGCCTCGTGTCCGACGCAGTCCAGCTCGTCCTGAGTCAAGATGGCGGGGCGGTAGACCTTGACGACGCACTCGATGCCCGTGGAGATGTCGACGGCGCGGTACACGACGGACTTGCTGCCCCTGCCGATCTGCTTGATGGGCTGGAAGCGCTGCGAGGAGAGACCGTACTCGGCAAACCGCGGCGGACACGACAGGCCGAACACGTACCACAGCACGTCCGTCGGCTCCTGCAGGGCCTTGTCCTGGTGGTCGGGCCAGACCACGACGCCGAGCCGCTGCCTGTACCCCGCCGCGACCTCCTGCACCGCCGCCGCGTTCTTGTTCTTGTTCTTGTTGCTGGTCCGGTGCGCGGCCTTGCTGGGCGCGCTGTCCTTCGCGGCCTCGGTGTCAGCACCCCAGCCGCCCTGCGTGGAGCGGCCCTGACGGGCTCCCGGATCCGAGGTGTGCCGCCACGCCTCCTCGCGCAGCACCTGCGGTCGGCTATGCAACGCGGTGGGGTCCTGCCCTCCCGCGGCGACCCTGCGACCGCCAGGCAGCGTCCGACGCGGAGGCGGCCGGCGATCGTCCGCGGCGTCGGTTGCGTCCTGCGAGGCACGCGAGCAAGAGACTGTGTTTGTGTGTGTGTGTGTTTGTGTGTGTGGCTGATGGTGGCCTGGCGGGTGCGGCCAGCGAGTGCCTGTGTGGCGAGCCAGAGGCGCTGGCATGGTGCACATTTCGACAGACGCTCACCTCGGGGGCGCTCGTGCGTCTCGTTCGCCTGCGCGAGCTCCGTGCCCGGGGCCCTGAGGAAGAGGAGTCGCCAGTCCCAGCTGTGGGCCGCTCCCCTCTCGGCTGGGGGGCCGACTTCCCGGACACCACGAGCGTGACCACCCTGCTCGAGTTCATCGGCTTGTTCGGCGAGCCGGGCGCCGGGGCGTCGTCATCCGAGCCTGGGTGAGGTGAGGTGCGAAAAACGTGCAGGTGAGGAACACGTAACGTCAGCGGCGCGAGCACGACGCAAACGGAAACGCGTGATGAAGGTGCTGCCTCGATGAACGCCACTGTGCAGTCTCTTCCAGGCACCGCGGCCCGGGGGCTCACCGACACGGTTCGACGAGTCCCTGAAGCACCGGAAGAGCATCGTGGCGATACCGCTGAACACGCGCCCTTGTTCCCCTCGCCAATGGCCGCGCCGTCACCTCGCGGAGACAGGCTTTCGTCTGCGGGCAGAAGCGCGAGCGAGACTGCGTCAGTCGTGGCGCATTGGGCGTGTTTGTAAGGGGGATGAGCACGGAGCGCACGAGGATGTGTGTGGTGATGCGAGGGCGTGCACCCCGGTAGAAGCGGACGCACAAATGTAAGGCGGAGTCTGTGACCCGGGACGCCCCAAAAAATTCGCGCTGAGGGAGCGCAGCCGCTCGCTCTGGCCTCGTGTGGTGTCCCTGAGCGGGGAGCGCCGCAGGCGCATATCAAGCATGTTCTGACGTCGCAGAAGGCTACTTGTTGCTAATGTGTCAGCAAGGGCTGCGTGAGTTGCACGTTGCCTCGCGGAACCCGTAGATCCGCCGGTGTGTGGTCGGTGTGTGGTTCGGGCCAGCGAGGCGTGAATACCGTGGCGCACGGCACGAACACAGTAGCTCAGGCACATAGCTCAGCATCAGGCATGGGATGTACGATGAGCTCACCGCTCGGACTCGTCGACGAAGCGCGGTCGAGACGCCTTGTTCGAGCGACTCGGACTGGCCGCTGCGCGTCGCGATGTGTCCAGTCGCGGCCGTTCGGGCACCTGGCCTCGCGTTTCATGCACGTCCTACGCGACGCAGGCGGCCGGCGCGCCCAATGGCCCGGCCCTGCCAGCGCGCTGGCGCCCCCCCCCTCCAGGCCAGTTCCCCTCCACACCTTGGCACGGGACGCACCGGCCACCACCCCCTGCCGTTTGGAGCCATTGCAACGCCGCGCCATCGAATCACATGTGAGCTGGGCGTCGTCGCGGTGTGTACCGCCCGCTGCATTCGCGCGCTGGTGCATCATGCATGAAGGCGCACACCGGGCGGGCGGAGCCTGTGCGGCCAACCGGCAGCTCAGGACGGCCGAGCGTCCACGGGACACGCTCGGCATGCCGCCAGCAGCACCCGCGAGCAAAAAGTCCCCGCGCGAGCTGCCGTCACGTGCTCTGGCACCCCGGCAAGAAAGAAAGAGGACAAGCGCGGGCACGGACACCACCGCGACGCCGCGCCTGCTCGCCGCGGCCGCCCCTTGCCGTGCCTGCGTGCGGGCCACCGCGCGCGACTTGAGCCCCGCGCCGCCTATGGCGTCGAATGTGTCGACACGTGCCCTGCCTGGTTCACATGAGGTGCCGCGCGCGGTCGCGCGCCTGCGGCACACACAGGCGGGGCGGGACCAGTGCCCGGGGCGCCACCGTCGTCGCCGCGGCAAGTGCTATTGAGATGGGTGCTGCCGCGGTGGCACGACGGGGGCCGCGCGGGACCGCCTACTCCTCCGGGGTCGGGGCGGGGGCGGGGGCGGCCTTCTTGGTGTCCTTCCCGGTCATCTCCTTGTACGTGGTGGTGATGAGGTCCTTGAGCTCGGCGCGCGAGGGCTCGAAGATGAGGTAGCGGTAGATGAACCAGGCGGTGTACCCGAGGCCGACGAGCTCGAGGAGCGGCGGGAGGACGGGCAGCTTGTCGACCGAGTCGATCACGCCCGCGGCGAACCAGAGGCCGAGGAAGCTCGCGGCGGCGATGGCCACCACCGCGGGCTTCTCCTCGGTCTTCTCCCACGCGGCCGAGGCCTCGGCGGCGAGCTCCTTGGCCTTGACCTTGGCGATCTGCGGGCCGGGGAGGGGCGGGGCGGGCTGAGCGGAGGCGGGGGCGGCGCGGGGTGGGCGGCGTGGCGGGGAGGGCGCGGCGAGGGCGGGGCGCGGGAGGGCGGGTGCGTGCCTCGGCGCCCTCGTTGAGGACCTTCTTCATCTCCTCGGCCTTCTCGGAGGTGTCGATGGGGGAGGAGCCGGCCTTGGCGCGCGCGGCGACGGACCGCCGGGCTGCAGGCAGTGGTGGGGCAACTGCTTTGAGCAACAACGCGGGCAGGGGCGCTGCGGGGACGCGCGAGGGCCGGTGCGGCGCGCGTGCGGGCCGCTGGCACGGTAGAGAGCAGGGGCCGGCCCGGGAACGGCGCGAGAACGGGGCTGCGCGAGGCCAGGCGCCAACCGTTCATGGGGCTTAGGGTTCTCCGCGGCGCGCATTCCGGGCGCGCGGGCCGCGCGAGACGCGAACATTGCACGCTGAAACGGTCGTGGTCGCGGCGGGGAGGCGCATTGTCTCGTTCTGGGCCGCACGAGTGCGAACGAGGCGCGGCACTGCGATGCAGCGCTTAGTGCCCTAGCGCGCTCTGGGGTGGCACATTGTCCTGAGCGTGCGGACACGGCGCAGTCAGTATTGAGCTGCACTGCCCAGCGCGGTAGAGCCGTCCGAGAGGGCGGGACGGGGCCGGAGACGGGTTCGCCCTAAGCCGACTTACCAGCGGGCCTGCGGGAACCGGGGAAGCACTTGAACGTCAATGTGAGCCTCGAAACGCATTACGTGTCATCCAGACATTCGATGTCGGCGATGTGGGGCGCCGGAGAGCCGCCCTCGCAGCGGCCCCGCAGTGCCAGCTGGAGCAACAAGCCAAGTCACGCGGCCCGGCTCTCTGGGGCTCGAGGCGGCGCCGGCTCTCGTTCGGCGGACGCCATGCATATGAGGAAGCGATGTGGCGGGCAGAACCCGCCATGGGGGCAGCAGGCGCGGCGAGGGCCGGAACATACCTCGAGGCGGGCTTCGCGGTCAGAGGCGCGGCGACACGGAGAGCCATCATTTTGATCGAGTTTATTTGGTCTTAAGATGAAGCTTGTTCAGCGAGATTGCAGAGTGACTCTCCAGACCCGCGCAGAGCGGCGAAATAGGCGCCGAAAGGGCACCGACTGACACTTGGAAAAGGGCCCAGCCCTCCGCAGCGCCAGGGCCGCGGGGTGCGCTCCGCCTGAAACCCGGTCCCAAAAATCCACGATACCCCTATAGACCGAAAAAACGCCCGCTTGCTCGCACGGGCGCCGCGGGGCGGGCGCAGACAGCTAGGGCAGAAATGCCTCGCCCCCGCGCAGCACCGGCGCTTTCTCTGCCAATGTGCGCGCCCCGGTGGCGCCCTCTCACACGTCCTCGCACGTGCCGAGCGCATCAGCTTGCCTCGCAGCCCAGCGCACGACGGCCCCCGATCCTAGTCTGCACGCTCAACGGCGCCACGCAAGTGCCTCGCTGGCCGCGCCGCCCGCCAGCGAGCACGCAGCGCCGCCACGCGCGCCGAGCGCGCAGCGCGGCAGCAGCGACCTCCGACCGCCCCCAGTGCTGGCTCGGGCCACGTCGTTGCCTTGACCGACTTGTGGCCGTGGTAGTCACACTCGCTGCACCCCCGGCGGTCCCTGCTGCTGCGGGCCCTGCTGCTGTCGGCCGCCCCCTCCGAACGGGTTCGGCAGGAAGCTCCCCGCGTTGCTGACGGCGGCTCGGAAGCCCGACTGGATGGCAGAGTTCGCCAGGTCCTTCACCTTGGCCTGCTGGTCGCGGCTGCAGCGGTAGTACCCCGCGAGGTTCGACCCTGCGTGGGGACGGCGGCGGCGGGCGGCGTGACCCACGGGGCGTCGCGTGGCGGCGGGCGCAAGGCGGCGGCGCGGCGTGAGCACGGCGAGGGGCGCGCCTGCGAGCATGAAGGCGACCAGGACGATGAGGAGGTAGTCCCAAGAGAACTTGAGGAAGGCGAGGACCCCGAGACCGATCCACGCGAGCGGCGTCAGGTACAGCGTCGTCCAAAACACCGCCGAGTCCTTCTTGTTGATCTGCCGCTCCCCGAGCTGCGAGACGCCCAACACAGCGCCGCACCGCTCAGGCCGAAGACGTCAGAGGCGGGCGGCGCGACGCACGCCGGCACGTGCGGCGCGGGGCCGCTTTCCGTAATCGACGCGCTGGCAGGGGGGCGTGGCAGGGGCGGGGCGCGCGGACCTCGAGGGACTCGAACCGCCAGGAGCTGGCGCCGTCCTGGGAGACCTCGTTCCACCAGCGCAGGCCGACGAGGAGCCGGCCGGACACGTTCTTGACCACCCAGAAGTCGAGGGAGAGCAACACCACGCAGACGACGAAGTCGGTGACGAAGCCCTGCCCGAAGAAGGACGAGAGAATGTAGTACGCTATCGCGGAAGCCTGCGAGCGAGGGCGGACGGCGGCGGGTCACCGCGGCACCGCGTGGACGTGTCGCGCTGGGCTGCGGCCCCGAGGCAGGCACCGCCGCGCAGCGGAGGTCGGGGGCGCTGGTTCGCGGCGACGCGACGAACGGAGGTGGGCGACCGCGCGCGCACAGCAGAGCGGCACGCGGCCGCCGGCAGTGCGGTGCGGAGCCCGGCTCTGGGAGCAACGTACACCAGCCGCGCCTGGATGCGTCTGCCGCGGCGCGGGCGCGCGCGACTTCGAGCATCCGAGGCGATCCCGGGGCGACAGTGCGCGCGGACGGGGCGCTGGACGGCCGCTCGGGCCGTCGCGACGTCAGGCGCGTCCGGGGCGCGGACCTTGAACGCAATGTGGAAAAACGCGGTGACAGGGTGCCCGTATCCCTCGCGCGGCTGGTCTGACGTGATCGTATTGCCCTGCTCCATCGTGCCGCGCCCACCAGCTGCTCCCCCGGCCAGAGCGCGCGCCACACGCGCCCCCACGCGGCCTCCAGCGCTACAGTCTGGTACCACGAGCTAATGCTGCGCCGGGCGCTCGACCTATCCCTCTGCGCACGCCGGGAACTCGGGGGCAGGGGGGTGTGGTGATCGCGTGGCCACAGCGGGAAAGTAGCAACGGACGACCGCGCATCCGGGCTGTTTCCGCGGGCTCTGAGGCCCGCCTGACTTGGCACCGAGCCCGTCCGCACCGCGCCCGGCAGCGGCGCGCGTAGATTGCCGCGCGGATCGCGTGCCCGCGAACAGAGCGATTCGTAGGACAGAGGAGCTACCCGGGTCTAAGCGCGCATCCATCAGGTGAGGGCCGTGCCACAGCTGCTACTCTCTGCACCGCTGCACACGCAAATAGTCGCAGGGGCTGCCTTGGTCCCGCCCGCACCTCCGAGCAGCTGCCTCCCCGCACTGTCGGCGGCGCCGATCAGCCGCGTTTTCGCGCACAGTAGTAGGCACGGCTCGCCCCGCGTGTTGGCGGGCGAGGCGCTCGCCGTCGCGTGCGGAAGATATCTCGGTCCTTCCGCGCTGCCGTCGCGTACGTTTATTGCGATCGTCAAGGTCCCGCGCGTTTCCTCGCACGCGCCGCCGTGAGCCCGCCCGCGCGCTGCCAAGCCCGTTGCTGCTGCGCCACCCAACAGCGGCCCGCTGCCGGTCCGCTGCTGCGGCATCGCAGTTGCACTGTGGCGGGGCCAACTCGACCGCCAGGTACGAGCGGTCGCGGAGGACCGGCGCCGGCCCACTGTCGATGCGAGCGTCACCGGCGGCGCCAGCAAACCTGGGGCGATAGCGGACGCGGGAGCTCGCAGCCGTTGGACCTTTTGGGACGCCACGCGCACGCGGGAGCCATGTTTCACCGAGGCGCACAAGCCGCGTGCGGACACGCGCTGTTGGACGTAGGGCCAGGGGCTACAGCGGAGCAGGAGCCACCTTGAGGCGCCAAGTCTCGGTGTTGGACCACGCGCGCCCCGGATCTTTCCTGAGCTGCACGCTTTTGCGGGCCCCGTCGCCCCCGGATCGCGAACGGCGTCGTTTTCGGAGCACGAGCACTCCCTGCCGCACGGAACCCTGGCACACCGGAGCACGCGCCGGGCGGGACCGCACGGACCGGCCGAGCTCGACGGCGGACGCCTCCTCGCACCACGCCGCTCCGCGCCAGGGACGGCGCTCTGATCTCCCCGGCGCCGCGCCCTCGCTCCCCTCCCCGCAGGACCTCCTTCAGCCCCACCGCTCCGCAGCGCCGGCCGCCACGATGCCTCCGCGGCGCCTGTGGGTCGCCAACCTCCCGAGCGACATCCGCGAGAGCGAGGTGGACGACCTCTTCCACAAGTACGGCAAGATCCGCTCGATTGACTGCAAGCCCGAGAAGAAGTTCGCCTTCGTGGAGTTCGTCGACGACCGCGACGCCGAGGACGCGATCCGCGGCCGGGACAACTACGAGTTCGACGGGTCGCGCCTCCGCGTGGAGTTCGCCCGCGAGCGCGGGCCGCGGGGCGGCTACGACGACCGCCGCGGCGGGTACGGTGGTGGGGGGTACGGCGGGCGGTACGACGACCGCGGCGGGCGCGGCGGGCGCGGCGGGCGCGGGAACTTCGGGCCGTCGCGCAAGACGGGGTACCGCGTCATCGTGGAGGGCCTGCCCATGTCGGCCTCGTGGCAGGACTTGAAGGATCACATGCGGTCCGCGGGCGACGTGTGCTTCGCCGACGTGTTCCGCGACTCCCGCGGCGTGTACGGCCTGGTGCGCGCCCTCGCGACGCCGCAGCCGCGTGCTCGCGCCCGCCCCGTGCCGACGCCGCTCGCGACATCAACGTCGTGCGCGGCCCATGCTCCCCCCCGCCCGCGATCGCGTCGTTGCAGTGCGACTTCACGTCCCCGGAGGACCTGGACCGCGCGCTGCGCAAGCTCGACGACACGGAGTTCCGCAACCCGTACGACTCGGCGCGCATCACCGTGCGCGAGTACAAGGAGCCGGGCGGCTCGCCAGGGCGGTCGCGGTCGCGGTCGCGGTCGCCCCGGCGCTCGCGCTCGCCCGGCACGCCGCGCCGCGACCGCTCGCTGTCCCCGCGCGACGGCGGGCGGTCGCGGTCCCGCTCGCGCACCCGGCGTCGCGGTCGCGGTCGCGGACGCCGCCGCGCAGGGACAGCCGCTCGCCGCCCCCGCGCAGCGCATCGCGGTCGCCCAGCCGCTCGCGGTCGCCGCGTGACTGAGGACGGATCAAGCAGGCCGGCCGACTCGCCGAGGAGCTGGAGCTCTTTCGACCCCCCGTGGCTCCCTCACTGCAGACTTCTCTCACCTCAAACGCCCGTGTGTGCTTGCGAGGGGGCGCGGCGACTGCGGCGTCGTTGTAAGCGCGAGTGAGATCGTTTTGCCGTGCGTTACAGCCCCAGACGCCACCACTTGCACGACTGGTCCTTTGACGCATGCTGTGCGCGCTGTTCAGGACGCTTGCTAGCTACAGTCCCCTGACCTTCCTAGCGGTGTGGTAAATGTTCCGTCGTCATGCATATCGTGCGGTGGCGTCATTGCGCGCAGCCATTCGTCAGGACGTGCGGCACTCGGGCACCGGGGCGGCATCTTCGTCGTCGTCGTCGCCGAGCTCCGACGTGCGCCGGTCCGCCGTCAGCAGCGCCTGCATCACCCCGGGCGCGGCTTCGAACAGCCGCGCCAGCTGCGCGGTGAGCGCTGCGCCCGCGAGCTCGCCTCGCGACCGCCCTTGCGCCCGCGCGACTATGTCGTCCAGCTCCTCGTCCAACTGCCCCACGGCGCCCGCAGACTCGCACTGGTACCTGCACGCGGAACGGAAATCAGGCGGCACCATCCTCAATGCCGTGTCATGCAGACCTCAATTGCTCAACATCTTGCCTGCGAAGGGCACGCCCATCGCCCGTCCTGGCGCGCACGCACCTCGGCCCCCACAAGCGCACGACGTTCTCGATTCCTGACGTGGCCAGGATCGGCAGGTCGGGGTGCGCCTGCACGCAGTTCGCCACGTCTGAGTCGGCGTCCAGCGTCCGCACCAGCTGCCCGCTGCGTGACTCGTATATGTACACCCTGCCGTCGTCGCTCCCGCACGCCACCAGCTCGTCGCGTGGACCCACGAACGTGGCCTCCTTGATGTCCGTCTGGACGTTGCAGTGCCCTACGTAGCGCACCGACTGCCCCCCGCGGCCCCGGAACATCCACGCCCACGAAGGCGAGCCGTCCGGCAGGGTCTCCCACGCATCCGGGGGGCGATCCGCGCGCGGGGACGCCCCGCGCCGCTCAGCGCCCGCCCCGCAATAGTCCTCCTCGTGGTAGGACGCCTGCGTGTATCTCCGCCCGTTCTCGTCGTACAGACCCTCCCAGTCGTCGTTCGTGGGCACGCTGGCGTCGTCGTCGTCGTCCTCGTCCTCGTCCTCGCTCGTGGAGGTATGCGCCACGTCCTCGTCCATCAGGCGGCCTGCGCCGCTGATGCTGGACCCCCCACTCCCCCCTGACGCCACCGCGCCCTCGTCCTCCGCGCCACCGACCTGAATGTGTACCTCCACAGCACCCTCTTGTGTCCCGTCCCCCTCCCCCGCATCCTCCTGCGCGGCACCCTCACGCGACGACCCCCCCGGGGATGTCTCGTGCATGGACGGGTTGCTCGACCCGGGAGCTGAGCCCGATGCCGGGCCGCCGTGCGGCGGGCGCGCAGGCAGCGTGTCGCTGTCGCTCGCCGCGTGCACCACTATGCCCGCGGTTCCTCCGGGCGCGTTGCGCGCTCGCCTGCGCCGCGAGTGCTCGGGCTGCACGCGCGTGCCACGCTCAGTGCGCTGCCTCATGCGGCGCGTGACGGCCGCACGCAGCTGCTCCACACCCTCCGTCTCGTTGTCGGGGTGCCGGTCCGCGAAGTCCGCCAGGGCACGCAGAGACGACGACAGCATGCCAATTTGGTGCAACGCCTGGGCACGGCGGAACCGCGGCTTCGGCGCGCTCGGATCCATCGCGATGCACTCCTCGACGTCCTTCAGCGCCGCCATCGCGTCGCCCTGCGAGGACCGAGCGTCACCTCGAGTTAAGCACGCAGGGGTCCCCACAGGTGGGCGCGGGCGACGCCGCCCAGCAATCCGATCAGGAGACGCCGCAGCACACGCACCTCGAACTTCCGCGCCAGGAGCGCGGCGGCGCGGTTGCACCGCAGCCCGACGGACCACGGCGCCGCCTCGACCCCCCTCGAATACCACCGCACTGCCGCGGTGTGTTTCTTCGCGAAGAACATCCTGTTCCCCTCCAGCTTGCACCTCTCCGCCTCGCTGGGCAGCTCCCCCTGCGCCGCGGCGCCCCGCGCGCCCCCGTGCGCGCCCATCGCGACCCCCGCGGCGTCCCCGGCCCCGCGCACGTCGAACGCGTGCGCCTGGAACCCGTGATAGGTGGCGACGACGCGGTCGCCGCCGCGGGCGAAGGACGCGTGCGTGATGTGCGTGCGCCCCGCGCCGTGCACGCGCATGTGCGGCGGCGCCATGCACAGCACCGGCTTCGCGCCGCCGGCCTCGTCCACGGGCAGCGGCGCGAGCTTTCGGCGGTCGTACACGCGCACGTACGCGTCCGTCGCGCCCACGGCGATCATGTGCGGGTGCGCCTGGTTCACCGCCATGGCCTTGAACTGCATTCTCCGCCGCGTCCGCGCCGATTCCGGCGCGGTGATCAGCACGTTGGCCATCTCTCCCGCCCCCTCCGCGCTGCCCTCACGCACCCCCGGCGCGCCCGGGCCGTCGCGGCGGAGGTCGAACTGCCGCACGGTGCCGTCCTCGGACACGCTCCAGAACATGTCGGGCTCCGTGGGGCTCGTCGCAACGCCCTTCACGCGGTGGTCGTGGCACCGGAAGGTCGTGGTCTTGGCGGAGAGGGCCGGCACCGCGGTCTCGGGGCCCGGGCCGCCGCCGTTGCGCGCGTGCGCGCGGGGCCGCGGGGCCGAGGACACGTCGGTGGCGAGCGGGGGCTGTTCGAGGACATGGTGTTGCACCAGGCCGTCCATTGCGCACGACACGAGGTGGCGCCCGCCTGACGCAGGCAGGATGGCGACGCCGAAGATGTTCATGTGGTGCGGGGTGAAGACGCGGAACGGGTCGACGCGCGCGGCGGGGTCGCGCCAGAGGATGACCTGCAGGTGCAGGGTGGTTGGATTCGCGGCCGGTCGGGGCGCCGCTGCGGGGTCTCCGTCCGCGACGGCGATTCCGTCGCGGAGGGTTGCGTGGGGTGGCGCGGCGCGCGAGACGAGAGCGCGCGAAAGCGCGGTTTCGAGCCGCGGACGGGGGAGAAAACGAGCAAGCTGGGTAGTGCGGCTTCGGGCGGCAAGCGGGGCCGCGGGCGTCGCACCGAGGTGTCGTCGCTGCCCGACGCGAGAAGAGAGCCATCCTCGTTCCAGGCCAGGCGGTTCACGCAGCCCCCGTGTCCTTCGAGCACGGACGTCTCTCCAAGGTGTCTGGCCACCTGAGCGTTGAAGTTCAGGCCAGGACCGAGGCGAGGTGCCTGCGCACAGCGACGTTCAGATCGTTTGCGGTGTGATCACGTCCACGGGGCTGCGGAGCAACGGTGGAGCCACCGAGGCGACGGGGCAGGGCCTCGCACCGCTGAACGGGCCCACTCTTCCCGCCGGCGTACGGAGGCCGCGAACGTTCGGTTCGCCATTGCCCCGAACGAACGTCCGTCACCGCCTGATTATCGGAGCCCGATGGGGAGGCGCAAAGACGAGGGAGCCCACGCCTCTGCACCCCCAAGCAGCGGGCACCTGGTGCTGCCAGCGCGCGACCGAACGATGATGCCGTTCCAGCGCGCTGCGCTTCCGACTTGGCGCCACGAAGGGTGCGCGGCGGCACTGGCCGCCCTGTGGCCGTACAGGGTGGAGTGGCACCTCCCCACCCAGGCCCCTATTACGCCCCAGCGAGAGCCCCACACCGCACAAGAGCGCGTCTCTGCCTGCCCCAGGCCTACTCTGCGGCGGAGCCGGTGTAGCCCGAGCTTTCCAAGCCCACGTCACCGACTCATGAGCGCAGTGTCGCACCTCTGTCGCAGGCCACTTGCTGTGCACTTCCTGCGCCGCTCCCTGACGGCGACATCGACGGCGCACGTGCGCCGCTCAGTCTGTTCGCTCACACAGCTACCCGGCTATCTCGGCCGTACGTCGTGCGGGGTCGGACAGTCACCGTTGGGGCGCAGGCTACCCTTCTCACATAGCCCGGCGCGCTTCCAGGGAGGGGCGCCGCGCTCGACTGGGCGCGGGCAGGCAGTGGGGGCGTCGCGGACCACAGAGATGCTCAAGCACAAGGAGGATTTCTACGGGGGCGTCATCGTCGACGGGGACGCGCTGCCATCAGACGCTGCCAGGTTCGAGGCGGAGCTCGACGCGTCCTTGGAATCGTGGAGGTGCGAATCGTCCAGCGCCGAGGAACACAAACAGCGGCCGACCGCGCCGGGCGCGACCCTGCGTGAGAGCTGTTCGTGTATCGACCTATGAAGGTGCAGCAGTCGAGCGCAACGCATGCAGCACCGCGCAGCATTCCTGCGCCCGGCCGACACGCGCCCGCCGCCGGCTGCGCGACGCAGGGCCACGGGCAAGCGGGGCGTGTGGCTGAAGGTCCCCACGCAGCAGTCGCACCTCATCCCGCTGGCGGTGGCGCGGGGCTTCATCTTCCACCACGCGGAGCCCTCGCACGCGATGCTGACCAACTGGCTGCCCGATACACCCAGCACACTCCCGGCCAACGCATCGCACCAGGTGAGCGGGCCTCCCCCGCACGACGACGCACCACGCCGTTGCGTGTGCACGTGGTGGTTGCAGCACCCGTGGGCGACGCCACGCGCCGTGGTACGGTGAGCCCTGATACGAGGGGAGCGGGATCGAGCGGAGGCGGTGCGTGCCCCGTGCAGGTGGGCGTGGGCGCGTTCGTGATCAACAGCAAGCGCGAGGTGCTGGTCGTCCAGGAACGCAGCGGTCCGCTGCGCGGCAAGGGGGTGTGGAAGATGCCGACGGGGCTGGTGAGTCAGGGCGAGGACGTGGTCGACGCGGCGGTGCGCGAGGTGCACGAGGAGTGCGGCATCGCGGCGGAGTTCGAGTGCGTCCTCGCGATCCGGCAGATGCACCGCGCCGCGTTCGGGAAGTCGGACCTGTTCTTCGTGCTCGGGTGCCGCGCGGTGGACGAGGCGGCGGAGCTCGTGGCGCAGGAGTCGGAGATCGAGGCGTGCCGGTGGCTGCCGCTCGAGGAGTATGAGAAGATAGAGTTCTTCCGCGGGCGGCCGCTGTACGAGGAGATCACGCGCCACTGCGCTGCGTGGGCGCGCGGGCAGGCCAAGGGGATGCACGGCGCGCGGCTGGGGACGGGGCGGGAGACGGACGAGCTGCTGTTCTTCCCCATGGACGAGGAGCTGCAGAGCAACCTCTGACGACGCCAGCGCGAGGGGGGCTGTCAGTCGCAGGCGCGGGTCGGTCGCAGGCGGGTCTGCCGCGATGTGTCTCTTCGGGAGTTGTTTCGTCCGCAGGCGCGGGCGTGGAGCTTTCCCTGTCGCAATGATTGTGAGTTGTTTTGTCGTGGTTTGACGAGGCGGGCGGCAGCATGGTGAGGTTTCTGTGCGGTGCAGCTGCTCGTCGCTAGAGCGGCTGTCCACGCGCGGGGTGTCGCGGGGTCGGCGGTCGGACTGAGTCAGGTTCGTGCCTGACAGACAGGGCATCTTGCGCCTCGTTGGCCACGCTTCGCGCCATGTGTTGTAGAACCTAGCTCGTCGAACGCGCGAGGCGTGGCTTAGAGGAGCTTGCTCCGAGACACGAGGCACGCGGAGGTCGAGCGGCGGGCGCACCCTGCTGGAGGGGCAGGACCGGCGGCACCATGGCGCAGGAGATGCACGATCCCAAGTCGTTGTACGGCAACACGACTCTCGGGGAGTGCCTCACGCAAGCGATCGAGGAGCTGAACGAGGAGGGCCGGTTCCCCGGGGGCGACGAGGGGGACCAGCTCGCGGCGGAGATCTTCGACAAGGTGAGCGAGGAGGTGTCTGCCTGGCCGCCAGCGCGGCTGGAACGGCGTGTGCGGGCGTGTGCTGCGCGAATTGGAATGTCGTGCCTCGTGGTGATGGGCCAGCGGGTTCGGTTCGGTCGAGGGGGCACCGTAAACGCGCCGCTCCGCCCTGCGGTGCAGTTCGGGCTTGCGCTCTACGGCGCCCTCAGTGAGGCGCGCCAGACGTGCAGAATAGAGGGTCAGCTCGATCACTTCAACAACTCGAATGAAACGTGGTCGTTCTTCGTGAAAAACGTCAAAATCCTGCTTCAGGTGTGCTGGCAGTTGGATCCCGCCGCTCCGCGTCGCTGAGCCTGCCTCCCTGACTGCGCGTTGCATCCTGTTTCCTCCATCCTCGAGGAACGGTCTCGCGTCGCCCAAGATTCCGCTTCGAGAAGGCGGCGGCTGTGCAGAAACGATGCGCTCACGCGGCCGCGCACCACCCGGTCCCACCCACCACGCAGGGCAAAGGCAAGGACAAAGACAACTTGGAGAAGGGGGCGAAGGAAGTCAAGGTGGACCGCATGGTCATCGCGACGGCGGAAATGCCAGATGTCGTGGGCAGAAAGAAGAAGAGGAAGGTCGTAGCGCAGTAGGAACCGCGGCCCAGAGGCCGCCGGCCCAGGACGCTCGAGGCGGAACCACCCTGTGGTCAGGGGCGCTGCAGGCCTTCGAACGTAGCTGTTCCGAGTCCTGGTTGGCATGCACCAACACAGAGGACTTGCAGTGCCGCACGACGTTCTTCTGGACACTCTCGCAGCACCCCCGCCACAGAGCAGCCATCGCAGAGCCGTCCCGGCGCGCCCGCGGCACCGGGAGTGAGGTGAGGTGAGGTGTCACATTCTTCGCGTCGTCAGCCATAAGGCTTTGGGACCTGAAAAGATCATTCGACTGGGTGGCGAGTCATGTCAACCCCCCACCGTTATGGTAGCAACAGGTTCGGCAGCTGTGACAGAGTCAGCCTGGAGCAGATCCTCGATGCCACGAGCAAAGATCGCCATGCCTCGCTGATTCGGCAGGTTCAGAAGATAACGCACTGCAGCGTTGGCAGCGGCTTCCGAGTCGAGTGTTGCAGCGCCGTACAGGTCCTCGAGGTGCTGGCGTAGCCGGCGGTTGAGAGCGAAGCGGCGGCGCTGTCCAAGTGTGAGCGCTGACACGTGGGACACATACAACGCACTCATGCAACTCACATCTGAAAACTTCGATTCCGCAAAGCACGATCCGCGCTGGGCTCGCACGGCGCCGGCGGCCGGCGCCTGTATCTCTCCTCTCTCATTCGCCTGCAGGGGAAGTGGATCCCCGGGGCGGCTCGGCTGGCGCTGGGCGCGCAGTCCCTCGCCAGCGTCGTCCGCCCCCTTCGCAGCGGAGCGACTCCGCGCTCACTCCTGCTTCGCCGGCGCGGTCCTGCGCACGCGCGGCCACGCCGATCGCGCGCCCACGCCCACCACGCGCGCCTCGCACAGGTACTGCGCCAGCTGCCGGTCGATGCGGCCTGCGGGGGCTTCCGCCGCCGCCACCGGCACCGCGCACCCGCGCCGAGGCCCGCGCCCAGCCGCCTTGCTGGCGCCGAGCACGCCGGACCGCGGCCACGCCGACAGCGCGCCCGTGCTGGGCGCAGACGTCGTCGTTGGCGCTGGCGGCGGAGGCGCAGCACCCGTCAGCTTCCACTGCCGCGCGACAGCGCCAACCGAGACGTCGCGCGCGCGCCCGACCGCCACCGTCTCGTCCTCCGCTGCCAGCGCCTCGTCCTCGACCGCCTCCGACCGCGGCCAGGGGCTGCAAGGGCCCTGCGGGCCAGGCACCGAAGCACCGGCCGCCGCCGCCTGGCGCGGCCACGCGCACCGCGGTCCCTCCGCACCGCCGCCCTGCGCAGCGGCCGTCGTCGCGCGTGGCCACGCGCAACGCGGGCCCTCGGCGGGCGCGGGCTGGCTGGCAACGTCGACGGACGCGCCCTTCGCCTCGCGGGGCCACGCGCACCGCGCGCCTTCCGCGGGCTCGACGGCGACCTTCGGCGCCGTCGTCGACGAGGCGGTCGCGCGCGGCCACGCGCACCGCGGCCCCTCGGAGGGCGGTGCAGGCTCCGTCGCCGCGGCCGCTCCCGTCGCCTGCCGCGGCCACGCGCAGCGCGGCCCCTGGACGTCGACGTCCGCGCTGCCGGGCGTCTTCACGCTCGGCACGCCCGCAGTCGCGGTCGCACGCGGCCAGGCGCACCGGGGGCCGTCCTCCAAAACACCCCTCTTGGCACCCCCCTCCACTGTGACCGACTCGCGCGGCCAGGCGCACCGCGCCCCGCCGACGGCCGCCGCCGCCGTCTCCTCCTGCGCAGCGACCGGCGCCGCGGAGCGCGCCCGCGGCCAGGCCGACCGCGCCCCACCCTGCAACAGCAGCGACGCCATCACGAGGTGCCCGAGGGCGCCGCCGCCCGCCCCCACCGCCTCGGCCGTCTCCTTCTCGCGCGGCCACGAGCACCTCGCGCCGGCAACGTCCGCCGCGCCCTCCGGCTTCTCCGGCGCGGCCGCACCCGCCGTCGTCGCCGCCTCGCGCGGCCACGCACACCGCGGACCCTCCGGGAGCAGCGTGGGCTCCGGCTGGGGCGCCGACGGCGCGGGCGAGGCGAGCAGCGCCTCGTGCGGGATGTACACGCCGGCGCCGTCGCCGTGCGCCTCCAGCTCCGCCTCGATGCTCGGCCTGCGACAACGCAACACGCGGGGGGGCGGGTCAGACCGGAGTCCGACGGGCGAGGCGGGCGGCGCAGGCTGCGGGACCGCACGGAGCAGCTGGTGCCAGGGCGAACGGCTCGCGCGGGGCGCAATTGCGTGCGCGGCGCATGTGTGGGCCACACAGGCTTGGCCGCGGCATCTCCGCGGGCGTGACGGGCATTCGCGCTGACGGGCGGTCGAGGGCGTCATTTCGGGGCAGGGGACTCACTGCTCCACGATGTTGTCGAGCTGGAGCCCGGGCTTGCCGTCGAGCTCGATGCTCTCCTCGCTCATGGCCATGCCATCCGCCCCCGTGGCGACCTCGTGCATCGCGAGGAGCTGGTCCGAGTCGTTCAGCGTCGCCTCGAGCGAGATGATGTCCTCCGAGTGCGCCGGCTTCTCGCCCCGCCCGGCCTCGGACGAGCTCGCGCGCCGCTGGGCGGCCCCCTCCGCAGACGACGGCGACTGCGCGACTTCCGTGCGGCCCTCGGCGCGCGAACTCGCGCGAGGCGCCTCGAACGACCGCGTGCGAGCCACGCCGGGCGCCACTCCGCCGCTGCGACCACGGGAAATGCAAAAGCCCATGAGAGAGCCTGGTGGTCGAGCTGCGCCGCTCCCCAGCGCCCAGAGCAGACCAGGGCGCCCCAGCGGAGCGCCCGCGCCGCTTCAGGCGGGTTTCGTCGTATCAGCGCGCAGCAACAGCTCCAGGCAAGCCGCGCGCGGCACCGCGGCGCTTGTGCGCCGGCTGTGCGGCCGTGGAAGCCGGCCGGGCAGCGGCGGGAGAAGGCAACGGGCGGCGTCGCGCGGGGGGGCGCGCGTCGCACCTGAGGCGGCGCGCGGCCGCGGAACCCGCGCTCCTGCCAACGGAGCCGCGCCCAGCGGCGAGCGCGCGGTGCGCCGTGCGCGAGGCGCGCGCCGGCGTCGCGGCGCGTGCGGCCAGCGGGACCAGGGGACAAGTGTCCGCGCGCGAGGTCGTCCGAGGGCCGAGCGTGCTGCGCGGCAGGGGATTCGCAGGGTTTGGGTCAGGAGGAGGTGTCGCGCGGCCCGAACCGCGGGCTCGGTCGCGGAAATCGCCCGCGGATCAATTAGGCTTGGTGAGCTCATGCTGGTTTAGGGCTGGTCGCTGCGGCGCTGTGGGGCTGGGGAGTCGCTGCGCGCCGTGCGTGCGGGCGCGGAATACCTGGTGCGTTGCGGTCGGGGTGCGGAGGGGCCGAAAAAGGCGGCAGGCGCTTGCGCGCGGAGCTGTGCATATGCAGGCGAAGGGGCATGCGGCCCGCCGGCGCTCGACGAGCTGGGGGCGGCTCACCTGGCGACGCTGGTCGACGCGAGCCGGTTTCCTGCCCGCATTTTTCCGGTTCTGTGTGCTCTGCGGGGGCGCAGACGGAGATGCTGGAGCAGTTGAGCGAACAGTACGTTGGCCGCCAAGCGGGCCCGCGAACGCTTCTCACCGGTGCTCGAGCGAATCAGTCGATGGACCATGGCACGTGCACGCGGGTTTCGCAGTGAGGATGGACGCGCGCGGCGCGTCGACGAGGAGACGGGCGTTGTAGCGCTTGCCTGCGACCGGCTCTCCCTGAGCGTCGGTTTTCGGTAATGCGCCCGTTGGTGGCTCGAATGAAGCCGTTATTGGCCGCGCAAGCGCCGCAAATGCACTTTCGCCGCTCGAATCACCGCAGCCAGGTCGCTGCTGCTGCTGCAAGATCTCCAGCCGCCGACGCGAGGCCTCCCAGGATGGCACTGGTACGCTGAGCTGGTGCGGGCTGCGAGACGTACCTCAACTCTGCGCGACGCGACCGCTGCGGCGACCTCTCGGGCCGCCCCCACGCAGGGGAGCGCCGTGGTAGGACCTGGCACCTGATGCCAGTGCTGACGTGTACGTCCGCCGGCCGGTAGCGGTCCCGCGACGCCTCCTGCCGCGAAAACCGATCAAGTGCTCCCCAAGGGGCGAGACGCGCGCACTGCACGCCAAACGAACCACGAGGAAGACCGCATTTCGCACAGGAGCTGCCGCTGAGAAACATCACGCGCCACTGAGCGCCCAAAATGCGTCGCGTCGCGAGGTGGCTGCGCTCGCTTGGCCTGGTGCGTCGACCCAAAGCAGGGCCGCGCGCGTCCACCTGCCGGACCTGGGCCGCCGATCAGGGCGTCGCGTGCGTCGCAGTTCACATGGACGCGTGGCACGACGGACGTCCCGCCGTGCGCTGCATCGCGGGCACGTCGACCGGGACGCGGCCGCCGCGACATCCCCGGCCTCGCTGCGGCCCCTGAGACCTTTGCGCCCCGCCGTGTACCGCGACGGACCCTGATTGCTGCACAAACGACAAAAGTGTTGCAGAGCCGATACGTGGCGCTCGGCCGCTCAACGCCGCGACTTGCTCGATCTCTGTGGCGCAGATCAACTGCCTGGCCCTCTCCCTGGTCTCTCTCTGCCTGCTCTTCACGTTGTGGCCCGTGGAGGTGGCGATCCCGGTGCGAGAGGGCGGTGGCGCGCAACAACACGACCTGCGGGCGGCGGGGCTGCGTTCAGCGGACGGTGGCGCCCTCGCACGCGCGGGCGATGGAGCGAGTGCGCGACGAGGGGCGCAGGACGCGGCTGCGAAGGGGGATCACGCGACGGTGATGCAACTTGTTGGTGCCCTGGAGGCGTCGCTGAACGCCACGCGCGACGCGATCCGAACGGAGCTGCACAGCATGCGGGTGCGAAGACACGTGCGCGGACCTCGCAGCGGAGCCGCCGGAAAGGCGCACGCCGAGGCTTTCACGCTGCACCGTTGTTTGACAGAGTCGTTGTGCGCGGCCACCGTGCGAGATGCAGGAGGAAATGACCGCTCTAGAGCGGAACGTGACGAGTCTGCGCGAAATGCCCACGCGGCAGGGGCCGTCTGACCGCGTGCGCAGCGAGGAAAAGCAAGACGTCGACAAAGCCCGACGCGGGCCTTCTCCGCACAGCGCAGGCGTCCAGGAGCTGACCGCGGGCAACGTCGGACACTACGTGGACGGCTCGCTCCCGGAGGACGCGGCGTGCGCGTCGCACCCGGGCCTGAAGGTGACGCAAAGATCGAACCAGCAAATCGCGCTCGCGGAACACGGGCGGCAGCGTCGCGGACGGACCGTCCGGGAACCTTGACACGCGAAAACGACGGACCCTTGCTGCAGGTGTGGATGCGCCGGGACGAGCTGTCGCTGCTGACCGACACGCTCAAGCCCTCTGACACGTACCTCGAGTGGGGCTCCGGGGGCAGCACCGCGCTCGTCCCCGCGCTCGTGTCGCGCGCCTTCTCCGTCGAGGGGCAGCCGAGCTGGTGCGCGGAGATGCACAACCAGCCCCGCGTCGCGTGCTTCGAGCGCTCCAACCGCCTCCAGCTCACCTGCCCGGCCCTCCCGCCCGGCGTGGAGCTCCGCGCGTTCGGGTACCCCGTCAACCCGTCCGACGCCGCGCGGATCGGCCGGGACTACATCGAGGCCGCGGGCCCCCTGGTGGGCGCGAACAAGCTCGACGTCGTGCTTGTCGACGGGCGGTTCCGCGTGGCGTGCGCGCTCTACGCCCTGCAGCACCTCGCGGCGGACGGGACGGTGTTCGTGCACGACTGGCCGGGGCGCCCGCACTACCACGCGCTGCTCGACTGGTACGAGCTGGTCGGGTCCGCGGGGGAGATGGTGGCGCTCAAGCCGCGGCGGGACGGTGCCGCGCGCGACGCGAAGGGGGCGTGGCTGATGTACGCGACGGATCCCAGGTGAGGCAGCGGGAGGGCGCGGCGTGCCGGAAGGACGGAGGTTGTGTAACAGTCGCACTGCGTGCAGCGCGGTGAGAGGTGCAGCGTGCTGGGCCCGGGCTGCTCTGGCAGCGCTAGCGCAGTTGCGCGGAATGAGCTGATCTGCCTGGTGCTCGATGAAAGGGTGTTGGATTTTCCGTGGCTCGCACGGGTCCGGAGCGACCGCGCGCTGGGCTCGGTGCACGCCAAGCCGCCTGTTCGCGAGCACGACGCTTCAGTCACGTGTCTAAGCATTGGACGGTATCGTGCTGGGGTGATGCATGCGATTTGAATTGACCGATCGCTCGTCCGGCCCATCACCGCGACGGCAGAGAGGGGGGACCTGTTTTCGCGGGGCCTCCAGCGCTGAGGTGGCTCGGTGCGCGCAGCCGCCGATTGTCGCTGCCGATCGTGGCGTTTGTCTACTCGCATACGGTCGGCTCGGGTCCGATACGGCACAATTCCTTGCACGTGTGAGGCGAACGGAGACATTTAGCCCAACAGTTGCAAGCGGGCCGAGGAAGCGGACGCGGCGGCTCCCGAATCAGCGACACCCGACCACGAGTGCGAGCACAAGTCGGACATCGCGATGGGCGAACTGTGTCAGCGGGATCGCTGCGAGCTGGGAAGGACTCGCACGTGCAGTTGGTTCATGGAAGACGGCAGGACGGAGCATCATGGTGGGTCGTGCCGCTGGCCCGCGGCCGTGAATCAAGCCTTTGTTCCTAGCTCGATGATGTCTGCACACGACCTGCGCGATTCTCGAAAACCAACGCCGTGCACCTGCGTTCCAGCCCTTCCCACGACGCGCACACGCCGTGACGGGTGACGCAGGGATGAACACACCTATGCCGAGGAGCTGCAAGGCTTCGGCGAGCTCAGCAGATCCGTCGCACCTTGCGCGAGCCCGGCGGCGGAACGCAGGAGAGGCATCAGAGCCCCCTGGCAAACACCACGGCGTGTTCTTCCGCCAAGCATGCCGTTGAGGCGGTACACGAGCGGGCGGGGGGCGTCTCACTCGCTGCCTCGACGATGGCGCTCCATGCCGATGTGTCGGCGACCTGACTGGGGCCACGTGCTGCAGCCTGATGCGCTGCGGAGAACAGGTGCGATCCGACGCGAAGCGTGCGCGCGCCGGATGACGTGCTCTGCCGCCAGCGAGACCGGTGCCCTTGCATCCGACGATCCCGGCGAGGATGCTCACTTCCTCCACTCTGTCGCTCGTCTGCAGGCGCTCGCAGCGCTGTCATCGCCGACCCGAATGAGGCGCCGGCGTTACACTGAGACGCAGCGGAGCTGGGTCTCAGCCTCGCGTCTGCAGCAGTCGCGAGCAGGGGAAGGCCGCACGCGCCCTGTGCGCTCGTCCAGCCGCTCGCAGAGGCGCAGCACTTCCAACTTGTTGCTTGGCACGCAGCATGCCTCCAGCAGCAGCCGCGGCCGTGGCGCGAGAGGGCACACCGTCCGGATGATCGCCTCTTCCGGCCAGCTGACCGTCGGAGATGTGGTTCGCGCCGAAACAGTACGCCAGGTGCGAATCCACTCCATCGTCGCGCAGATGGTCGAATCCATCCTAGGAGATGGACACGACGGCTGCAGTTTCGCCACGTCAAGCGCCGTCGCTACGCAGAGCATGACCGTCGCGTGCCATCGTCGGCGAGCCGCGCCACCCAGCATCCTTGCATCTTGCTGTGTTTCGTGCGCAGCACCACCCAGGCAGGGGATTCTACGCGGGGGGACCGCGGCATTTCGCCGCGCGTCGGCGGGCCTCGACTGCATGATCGCGAGGACCGCGTTCTGCGTACGTGCAACGGGTCGCGGGGACTGTCTCGGCTGTGCGGCGCACCCTCAAGCTCCTACTGGGGTTCTGTGGAGCTTCTCGCGCGAGCGGGGATTTCGCGCCGGCGCTGGTGCCCGCGGGGCTAGTCGCACGGGACGCTCGCGTTGCATTCCCAGGCGCGGTCGCATCCGGACGCTCGCGGACCGCCACGCCTGTGCGTCGAGAGGCGCGGCCGAGGTGCGGTGCTGCCCCGATGGCTCCGTGCGCTGCGCTGGTGGCGTGCGCGCGAAGGATCGCGTCGGTTCCTGCTTCCTACAGCACGATCCTCGGCGCACGTGGCATTCGCAGGCCATTGTACGCAGGTTGCGGCGAGAATTGGGGCTTCCCTCCTCTCACCTCAGCACACGCTCTCTCCCCGCGAATCCGCAGGCACCTGGACGCTTCGAGCGCCCTCGACACGCACCGTGCGGCCGCTTCGCCCAGGGGCAGTGCACGAATTTGTTCCTGCGAGGAGCATGGCAGAGATGACGTCCGGAGCGCTCTTGCGCCACGGGAGGATCCTTTCCCCAAGGATTGCCGCTGTCCTGCCGGCCCGGTGGTCCTGCTCCCCGGTAGCGACGCTGGCGCTCCTCCTTCTGGCCTGCGCCATCTCGCACGCCGCCGCACGTGTCCCCGGGGGCTCCCCGGCGGTCGCTGTGCGGGCGCTGGCGCAGGGAGCATCTCCGCGCGGAGTGCACGAAACGAAGCTGGTGCGGAGCGGCGGGCCCTCGCCCGACTCGTTCGGCTCGGCCGTGGCGGTGAACGGCGGGACCGCGGTGGTGGGTGCGTTCGCCGACGACGCATCAGGGACCGACTCGGGCTCTGCCTTTGTGTACGAGCGGGCGTCGAACGGGTCGTGGGCGGAGGTGGCGAAGCTGACGGCGCGCGACGGCAGGCCGGGCGACCACTTCGGCGCGAGCGTGGCGGTCAGCGGCGACGTCCTGGTCGTCGGCGCGAGGTACGACGACGATCGCGGCAGCAACTCGGGGTCGACGTACGTGTTCGAGCGGGTGAACGGGTCGTGGGCGGAGGCGGCGAAGCTGGTGGCGAGCGACGGGGCGAGCAGCGACTACTTTGGCTCCAGCGTGGCGGTGAGCGGCAGCGTGGTGGTGGTCGGTGCCTACCTTGATGACCTCCCATCGTCAGGGTTTGGAAGCGACTCGGGGTCGGCGTACGTGTTCGAGCGGGTGAATGGGTCGTGGGCTCAGGTGGCGAAGCTGGTGGCGAGCGACAGGGCCCGCGGCGACTACTTTGGCTTCAGCGTGGCGGTGAGCGGCGGCGTGGTGGCAGTCGGCGCGTACGGCGACGACGACAGGGGCAGCGGCGCGGGGTCGACGTACGTGTTCGAGCGGGCGTCGAACGGGACGTGGGCGGAAGCGGCGAAGCTGACGGCGAGCGACGGGACGTCGGCCGACGCTTTCGGGGTGGCGGTGGCGTTGAGCGGCGCAACGCTGTTGGTGGGCGCCAACGGCGACGACGACCTGGGCAGCAACGCAGGGTCGGCGTACGTCTTCGAGCGAGCATCCAACGGGACGTGGGCACAGGCGGCGAAGCTCAGGGCGAGCGACGGGGCCGGTGGCGACTTGTTCGGTCGCGACGTGGCGGTGAGCGGCGACGCCGTTGTGGTGGGTGCCTACGGCGACGACGACAGAGGCAGCGGCTCGGGATCGGCGTACGTGTTTGAGCGGTGGTCGAACGGGACATGGGTGGAGGCGGCGAAGCTGGTGGCGAGCGACGGGGCGTCGGGCGGCTCTTTCGGGGTGGCGGTGGCCGTGAGTGGCGTCAACGCACTGATCGGCACGTCATCTGGAAACTCGGCGTACATCTTCAACATCATCGGCCTCGTGCCGCCCGAGCCGTACTGTCCGAGAGCTTTCCTCGGCAGCGACTCGGACCTGCCGGGCGCCTGTGCAGACGACGATGGTGATGCTGTTCTGAACTGGCTGGACAACTGCGCCAGCGTCGCCAACACGAACCAGACGGACATCGATGGCGACGGTGTCGGAGACGCATGCGACGATGACGTCGACGGCGACGGGTTGCCGAACGCCGCCGACAACTGTCCGCGCGTCCCCAACGTCAACCAGACAGACTTGGACGCGGACGGTGTGGGCGATGCCTGCGACAGCGACAGGGACGGCGACGGCGTGATGGACGAGGCCGACAACTGCGTGGACGTCCCCAACGGCTCCCAGGCCGACGGGGACGGCGACGGCATCGGCGACGCGTGCGAGGACGAGGACGGCGACGGTGTGTTCGACGCGGTGGACAACTGTGTGGGGGTGTTCAACCCAGGCCAGGAGAACACGGACGGGGACGCTGCGGGCGACGCGTGCGACGAGGACGACGACAACGACGACGTGCTGGACGGGGACGACAACTGCCCGAAGCTCGCGAATTTCAACCAGGCCGACTCCGACCGCGACGGTGTGGGAGACGCCTGCGAGGACGATGACGGGGACGGCGTGCTGAATGCCCTGGACAACTGTCCGGGCACGCGGAACCCAGACCAGACGGACACTGATGGCGATGGCCAGGGCGATGCGTGCGACAGCGACGACGACAACGACGGGGTGCCGGACTCGATCGACAACTGCCGGCTGGTGGCGAACGTGAACCAGACGGACACGGACCGAGACCGCGTGGGGGACGCGTGCGACGACAGCGACGGCGACGGCATTTTGGACATTGAGGACAACTGCCCTCGGACGCGCAACGTGAACCAGACGGACACAGACGGCGACGGCGTGGGGGATGCGTGCGACAGCGATGACGACGGGGACGGCGTGCCGGACACGCGGGACAACTGCCGGCTCGTGGCGAACGTGAACCAGACCGACACGGACCGCAACGGTGTGGGCGACGCGTGCTCTGATGACGACGACGGTGACGGCGTGCTGGACGGCGTCGACAACTGCCCGCTGGTGGTGAACGTGAACCAGACGGACACCGACGGCGACGGCGTGGGCGATGCTTGCGACGAGGACGACGACGGCGACGGGGTGCCGGACGTCGACGACAACTGCCCGCTGGTGGCCAACCCCGACCAGCGGAACTCGGACGGTGCGGGCTTCGGCGACGCGTGCGATGCGGACGATGACAACGACGGCGTGCCGGACGCGTCTGATAACTGCCCGCTCGTGGCGAATGGCAACCAGTTAGACACAGAC